TGAACTTCTGCTGCCTCTGTTGGTTTAAAGTCTTGAATTGTTTGGAGAGGGAAAGGCAGTGCTGCTGTTTGAGTTTTGTGTTTGGGCTGGTGCCAAGGGATCCTCTGCCGTGGGTGCCTGTGTTGGTGGGTGCTGCAGGAGACTGAAGAGGGGATATCCAGTGTCTCATGTGAAACAGGCAGTGTGGTTTTGTGGCTGTGTGTGACTTGTGAGTGCTGCACTCACAAAGAATGGTGTTACTGGGTACACACGAGGTATCAAAGTACAGTAGCAGCAGCGACTGCCCAGTTTTTGTCCTGACATTAGAACAAGTGGCCTTGCCTGGTGTCTGGTGCTTCCTGGGGCTCACCAAGTGCAGGGGCTGTGGGTACAGAGCTGCACCAGCACCAGCTGTGAGGGCTTGGAATGAAGGTTAGTGAGACTTTGGTCGTTCAGCTTGCAGCTCCCCCCCGACTTAGTCATTCTTTTATGAAGTGCAGTCAGAGTTCCACAGAGAGCAGGCAAGTTCCAGCAAGAGCTTTCAAGCAGCGAGTCGTGTCGTTCCTGTCCCCTGTCCCCCCCCAGAAACACGGCCATGTAAATATTCCATGTGCTGTGGGCAGAGCTCCAGTGAGAACAAACCTCTGCGCTCCAAGGTCGGATTAGGAGCGTGTTCAGATAATGACATCTGAAAACAGGATGGCTGGGAGCTGCAGCAGAGCAACGAGGGGGCTTTGAAAGAGAGAGGAGTCTAATCCTCTCTGCTAATAAGGAGGCAGCTGCTGCCAATGCACCAGGCTTGGCAGGCACTGCTCTGCTGCTCCTGGGTTCTCTGACGATGGCAGAGAGGCACAAAGACCCGGCTGCTTCGAGATGGCTGGGGAAGAGCCACACGGGAGGGCTGTTCTCGTGTTCTTTGGGTATTTGGACATTGCTTGGCTCTGCATCTCCAGTAGCACTTGGCAGGACAGGAATTGTGCAGTGCCCAGGAGCTCACCCGGCACTGCCAACAGGGGATGGATGCACAGACACCCAAATCCTGCTGTTGGTGCAGAACCAGCTGCATTTCCAGGGCACTGGAGCCCATCCAGGCAGTGTGCTGTCTGTGGGCAGTTCGGGGGCCTCACCACTGGCAGAACCATTTTGGGCAGGGTGGAGGCAGCTCTCGTGCAGAGTTCAGTCCTGGCACACATAAGGATTCCCACCAGGACAGGGGATGGGTGCCTGCAGTGACCTGCCATGGAGGGGGGATGTGTGACTGAGGAGATCTACTGCCCCCTCCCCTTCCATCCAGACAGGATGTTTCATTCAGGCTCCTGTCTTTTTTTTGTGTGGGTGAGTCAAAGATGTTGATTTGGGGCTTTGAGTGTCCCTGTAAGGCTTCAGGTGGGTCTCAGCAAGGGCAGTTCCACCATAGATCCCAATCCAGCACTCTGAGCCTGCAGGCCAAGGTAGGAGGGGAAAAGTCAAAATGTGAACGGTCACCTCTCTAATTCCACATCCCAATTAGCAAGTTGTGGAGCTGTGAGCAGGGCTTTACCAGGGACCCTGATGGTACTTCCAATAAAACCACAGCACTGTGGAAAACCTTAAGGCCAGAGTCCATGTAAAGAGAATTCCCTTCCTACTGCACTTCCCATCTGAGCACTGCTGCTCCCTGTTCCGTGGGTGCAGGGCTTCCAAACACCCCCTGCTCCAGGCTCTTAAAAACATAAACCTCGAGCAAGAAGACAACTCGATCACTTAAAACTTTGGGGTTTTTTTTTCCAGTTTTTATTGAGTGAAAATGTCAAACCTTGCATCAGTCATGCAAAAAAAAAAAATCAAATAAATAAAACACATATATTAAATTTCTAATAGCACTAAATTCAAGTGGAAAAATATTCAGTTCTTAATAACGCAGGTGCTGAAGAGACCAGATTCAAGTAAATCAGAGCACACCATCCTGTTTAGGGTGTTTTTTTTCACTTTCTGCATTTTTGTCTCAAAACCTATATATATATCTATATATCTATATATATGTATATACATATAGATATATACACACACACATATATATGTGCATACATATTATTTTTATATTTATATATATACACATACATATTTATAAAACATTAAAAAGAGCATTGGTGGTTCAAGCATTTATTTCCCCCCCCTCCCCCACGGAAAGAAAAAAAAAAACCAACAACAAAACAAAAAAAATTACACATTTAAAATTCAAAATGAGCTAGCAATGGCTTATAGTCCTAGTGTGCAATATGGATATTACAAAAGGCTAGAATCCTCCCTCATTGTCTTTTTTTTTTTCATTTTTGTTTTTTTAAAGTTGTTTTTGTTGTTTTTTTTTTTGCTACATTGGAAAATTTTTTTTAAATTTTTTTTTTCTTTACAAAATTCCTTCCACGCAGACTTTAATCCAGTTGAGTTTGTGGCTAGAATGAACAATCTAGTCAATAGTTTTTGTTTCTTTTTTTTTTTTTTTTGCTCTTCAGCAGTGAATGGTAGCAGAATCAGGAGGGTCCATCTCAAGGTTTATTTTGTTTGGTTTTTTTATCTTGTTTTGGACAGAACAGTTCCGTTTCCTCTCTCCTCTTTCCCCTCCTCACAGAGTCAGTTGAATCTCCCTCTCTTTCTCTGGTCATTCTTTAAGCACATTATTTCAACAGCACTGACAGTCCCACTGATATGAGAGCTTGGAGTGACAAACGCCTGCTCTGACGGGGTCCTTGGGCTGCTGAGGCCCTGGGTCAGAAAAGCACTTAAGCTCAGGCTTAAACCTGGGCCTGCTCAGAGTCATCTGCTTAAGGGTTTTGCTGAATTAAAGCCTGGACATGGCAGAATAAAAAGTCGGGTTTAACTTGTTGACTTGTTGTTGTTGTTGCGAACAGAGACAGTGTAAGAGTGACAGGAGCAGGAGGAGGATGCTCTGGGGCCGGCCCGGCCTGGTGGCCACTGTCCTGCCAGGGCACCTGACCCTGCCCAGGGGTCACCTGGAGCAGCAGCCCGGGGGGAAAGAACTCTTGTTCCCTGTGCCAGCTCCCGGAGAAGAGGGGATAGAAATTTGGGAGAAGGGCTGAGATGTCAGGGAGAAGTAAGGGCGCCTTGGGGGAGAAAATGGTGTGCATAGATAAACACAGGCCCTTCTGGCACGTTGGGCCCCTCAGAAGGACGCGTGACACGGGGCCCATCCCGGCGGATCCCGGCCCGCTCCTGCCCCCGGGATGTGTCCCGGCCAGCACCAGGCAGAGCTGCTGGACACGTCACCCCCTCTCCACACACTTCTGCCTTCCTGCTTTCCCCACTGCTGTGCAGTGACTCCTGGAGTCTGGTGAGATAGGAAAGGGGAGGGGTGCAACGCTGTGTCCCAGTGCAGGCTCCCAGCTCCCGGCAGCAGGGACAGGGCCCGTCTGTCCCCAGGGACTCGGGTGGCCCAAGGGAGCCCCGCGCTGGCCCTGGCACCGGGCAGGGCTCGGTGCTGCTCCCACAGTCACTGACAGACATCCTGTGTTTCAGGGGTACAAAATCATCACATTTTCTTTGCCACATGTGGCTTTGTGTTACATCCAAGGATTCCTCCTGGAGCCCATCACCATCCTATCTAAGTATTGGACATGGGGAAAATGTACAAGTACAGAACCTGCAGCAAATGCTGGTAAAGTAAAATATTTTTCTGCCCCATCCCATTTTGAGAAATTCCAGGGCATCATTCCATCACTCTGCCCCAGGAACATGAGCTTCATTCTATTCAGGAATCAGGTTGTGCTAGGAAACACACAGCTGAGGGCAGGGGATATACCAAACAAAACAAAAACAAACAAACAAAAACCCCTATAAAAATAAAAGCCACACAAATAGCTGATAGAGGAAAAGAACTCCAAAGAATTAAATAAACTACAAACTAGTAATAACAATATTTCATTTGTTTTTGTTTTTTTCTTTTTTTTTTTTTTTCATTTGTTTCATCTCTACAAAATTCAAGTTAGAATTCGGAACCGTGCAGCTCCGGTCAGTGCTGGGAGTGTCAAGTCAGCCTCAAACCGCAGCGTTAAGGCCCCCCCTCCCCTGCCACCCCCTACAAACAAACACTACATCGAAGGAGAGAGAAAAAAATAAAAAAAAAAAAAAAAAAAGGAGAAAAAAAAAAATTGCACACAATTAACCATATCTAAGGGCTATCCAGAAGGCAGGTGACCCCCCCTCATCCCCCTGGCATTGGTGGTTTCTCTTTTGTTCTATATATAGTAATAACCTTTACAGGAAAAATACTGTACAACTTTTTTTTTTTTTTGCCTTTCCTTTTGAAACATTATCTGAACATTCTGTCCCCACATTTACACAGCTGAGCTGCTTGTTTATAAATCAGACCTGATCTGCACCAGTTCCTTAGGGAAATAATTAAAAAAAAAAAACCAAACAAAAAACCAACGCAACCTAAACTTCTTGAGGCCTTTATCTGTTCAGAGTGAAAACAAATCCCGGGGATCCCTTGGAGCTGAAAGGCTCGTAGAGCTGAGGAGGGGAGAGGGCGCCTGCATGGTATGAGAAAAAAATAATTAGGGTTTTTTTTTTTTTAAAAAGGGACAAAGCTCAGACTAGGCTGGTATACTTAAAACTGGCACCGAAATAACTATTATCAGAATTAATCCATACTAGTCCTTCTGGAGCCCTGGTGTGTGGACAAGCCCTCTCAGGCTCAGGCAAGGATTTGGGGTCAAACAGCCACTGGCTCACCTGCTGGAGTCTGGGACAGTGTCCTGTAGTGTGTGTTCCCAGACCAGGCTAGGAAAGGAGAGCAGGGAAGAGCTTGGAGCAGGGACAAGCCCGAGCTGCTGGAGGTGGCAGGTCCAACAGTGGAGGTGCCTTTGCTCACGCAGTGCCCGAGCCCCCGGCCCTCCCGTCCGAGTTCTCCGCGTGGCCCCGGCCCTGCTCGGCTCCTCCCCAGCGCTGCCCTGGGGGCTGCAGCGGCTCCGGGGGCTGCGGGACAGGCGTGTCCCCTCCTGCCCCAGGGCCGAGCAGGATCCCGGGCCTGTCCTGCCTCCTCCTGCCTCGGCAGCGCTGCCTTGGCCTCTCCCAGAGTCACCAGGGCTCCGTGTCTGTCCTGTCCTGGTGCCAGGCTGGGGACAGGGCTGGGCACGGGACATTCCTGTCCTGGTGCCAGCGCTCGGGGCAGAGCCCGGACGCTCCTCTGAGCACGGTGCTCCCTGTGGGACAGGGCAGCTCACAACCTCCTGAGATGGGGATACTGAAGCACCACAAAAACGCCTCACCCTCAGCAGAGAGGAAGCACCTGGGGGTTGGGATGAGATGGAACTGGATGGCGGATTAACCCCAGTCCTCCAGTGTGACAGACCCTGTGACTGCCCGCTGTGTTCTTCCCAGGTTACTTCAGCTAAATCCCTACAGGCAGAGCAGCAGGGATGAGGAGAGGTGTCCTACAGAGAAAGTGTAGACTGAGAAAGTTTTACAATATAAATAGCATTCAAAATTATTATCATTAACAGTAAAAAGGATCTGGAAGAACAGAGGAGTGTCCCGTTCCCACCCCTGCTCGTTCATTAATGCGTCCTCATTTATGTGACAATAAATACCCACTCCCACCCTGGCTGTCTGATGCCATTCATTTAATGCTGGAGAAAGAAGGGGGAGGGGTGGAGAGAGAGCACACCCCTCACCCCTCCTTCCCACCGGCAAAAGCTGAGCTACTTGTCTCTGTGACACCAATTCCTTGAATTTTATATATGTGTGTGTGTGCGTACATTATATATAGAGAGACACACACACAAATATATATCTCTAAAATTCATTACCTGTTGTTCCCACCCACCCCCCTCCAAGAAGTGGAGATTATTATTATTATCGTACAACTGAAAACATGGAAAAATAAAACCCAGAAAGAAAATTGGGGGGATAGAGCCCCACCCATAACAAAGGGTCCCCAGATGGGCACAGGCCCCACGCACCATGCAGGGAGCAGGGAAGAGCAGCAGGTACCCTCAAGGTTCATGTCCATATAAAGGGTATTTTTTGCTGCATCCTGCCCCCTGTTCCGGGATCTGTAGAATGGATGAGGCAGCACCAGTCCTGCTGCAAACCGATCTCTTATGGGGCCTGGGGAGGAGCAGGGGTTTCCTTCCTTCCTCTCTCTCGTGTGTGTGGCACAGAGTTTGTTTTTCATTTGCCATCCCAATCTTTGTTCTCGCCTCACATAGGGTCCTCTTAGTAATTCTGTGTAAGAGCAAAACCAAACCACTGCTGTCGTTGTCTCTTGGATTAAGGAGAAGCTGCTGGAGCAGCGGTGGAGGCTGGGGCAGCAGCTGGAGCTGGAGCTGGAGCAGGAGCAGGAGCAGGAGCTGGGGCTGGAGTGAGGGCTGGCTCGCCCTGTGGCCTGGAAGCATCACCATGGTCTGTGGAAGAAGCAGCCTCCTCTGGTTCTCCATCTTCTTTAGTGGCCAGGCCTTCAGGGTCAGGCAGCGATTCTTCAGAATCCGTGTTCAGGTCTTCCTCTTCATCATCCTCCTCGTCGTCATCATCATCATCCTCCTCTTCATCATCCTCCTCTTCTTCATTCATCTCCTCCTCATCATCCTCTTCATCCTCTTGGGAAGAGTCATCCTCGTCCTCCACATCACCAGAGCCCGATGCCCCCGGGCCCCTCTCCTGGGCCGCGGTCCCAGCTCTGCTCGGGGACGGGCCCTCGGTGGCCTCTGCCTGTTTCTTGCTGAGGTCCAGGGAGTCGTTGAGGCCCACACCGGCCGCATTCTGCAGGAAGAAGAGGGAGTTGTTGTTGTCAGTGCTGAGGTTGAGGGAGCTGTCCAGGTTGATGGAAGAGTTCTGGATGTCATACTCGAGGGTGGAGTGGGCGAGGCCCTCGGGGCCAGGGGAGATGGCAGGCAGCTCCCCTCGCTCCTGCTTCTCGTGCTTGCGCTTGTGCGAGTCCATCTGTGACATACCCACCACCGTGTGTTTGCAGCCAGGGTAGGTGCAGTGGAAGTGGGAGCACTTGAGTTTGTACTTGCAGTCGGGCACCTCGCAGTCCACGCTGGAGCTGAACTGGCAGAAGCCCGCGGCGCTGATGACGTCCTGCTTGCCGTGGTGCTTGCGGTGGGCTGTCACCTTGGTGCTGTCAGTGCAGCGGAAGCCGCAGCGCAGACAGTGGAAGTGTGTGCTATTGCCAGAGAACTGACAGTCTGGGAAGTTACAACTCAGCGAAGACTTGAAGCGTTTGAAATCATCCAACACCAGGTTGTCGACGCGGTCGTGGTGCTGCGCGTGCTTGTACATGTGGGTGCGGCCGCAGAACTTGTAGCCGCAGTTCTCCCGCGTGCAGTGGTAGTGGGTCACCTTGAGGGAGAACTGGCAGCTGGAGTCCTTGCAGTCCTCGTAGAGGTCGTAGCGCCGGAATCCCTCCAGCATCATCCCCTCATCCAGCATCTTGCGGGAGGACGCGGTCTTGCGGCGCTTCCCGAACGGGGACATGTCCTCGATGATCCAGAAGCGCTTTTTGGCCCCCGAGGCAGTTGGCATAGTGATGGTGTTCCCTGGGGAGAGAAAGCGAGAGCGGTGTTGCTGACAGCCAGGTCTCTGCATCTCCCAGCCATCCTGGCAAGCTCATCCCTCAAGCTCTGAGTGAGCCTGAGCTCCGGGATCCAGCACTGGTTGACGCCTGCTGGACATCACTTCCTCAATTTTCAGCATATCCTGCCTTGCCTCAGCTGCTGAAGCTGATCTTGTCCAAATGCTAACTGTTGCTTCTCTATTCGATACTCTCACAGTTTCTCCTGCTGCTTAATTAATCTCTAGTCCTGTTTTCCTCAAATGAGACTTGAATAGGGAGGAGCTGGCTTGTTCCAGTCCAAGGACTAAGGTGTGTTACTGCAGTTCTTCACCACTGGAGTGGTGAAGGAGTTTCAGGGTGCTAAAAGTCAGGATGTGTGCACTGTTCCACCTATCCAGGCTCTTGAAATCCACTACCATTGCCAAGGACAGGCAGGAAGTGAAGAAGATCCCATGCCTGATTAAAACTGCACGGGGGGGAATTTATAGAAACAGGATGGACTTTGGCCAGGAGACTGCACCATCCCTCACTGTAATGAGCCTACATATTACAGTGAGTGCACTTAGAAAGACAGATGGACAGATGTTCAATGGGGCTAATTCTCATCATCACTAGCCAGTGGACTCTGAGAGAAAATACCAGTTCTGCAGCTTTCCCCTGGGTCTCAAAAATCACATGATGCCCCCAGTAAATAAAGAGCCCTCATCTGTCTTCCCTTTCATTCACAGGGCCAGTGCATCTGGCCAGTGCTCCCGTCCCCCAGGAACACAGTGACATCAAGGACTCGACCTCATTATATCTATTAACTTTTTTTCCTTCTCTGCTTGCTAGTTCCAGAATCAAACCACAATCTCCAGTATCAACATGCAGCGCAGACAAGGTTGGAGGCAAGAATTTCTCACCAGGTGCAGACCCGTGAGTGTAATTGGAAATTATAGCTTGCAACTAAAACATACTTCTTTTTTTTTTTGCCTCTCTTCCTGCTGAAACTGCCATCCTCTTGAAAAGAGACACCATTTGTGACACTCAGTGCCTGGGGCCGAGAACCCAGAGCAGCTTGAATCCTTGTCTGGGAGACTGAAGGAGCAGTCATCTGTTTGACTGGTGTAATTCCCTTTCTGGCTGATGCACAGGTATTCCAGGAATAGTATTCCATACTAGTGCTGCCCTGCTGGCCCTTCAGTGACAACCCTTCAAGAGAAGGGGAGGGAACTCCTGGAGTTACCCTGGCACTGTAGGACACGAGTCACTGGAGTGGAGCAGGAACCTCCTCTCCCACATGGCCAGGCTAGAGAGGCTGCAGGATCAGCAAAGAACAGAAGGTTTCTCCACACCCATTTGTTCATGGCACTTGTGCTCAGGCTGCAGGTCAGGACACCAGCCTGGGGCTCCCAGGGCGAGCCCTCGGAGTGAAGGGAGCTGGTGCAAAGTGCACGCTGGGGATAACTCCGTGTCACTGCAGGCTGGGGATTGGCAGGCCCTTCACTGCAGAATCTGGGACCAATTTACTCCCTGCTCCCCCCTGAACATCTGGTACTGTAAAATCCAGCTCTCCACTCCCAGCCAACTCGTGTGAGTGCATTTGTGCCTGGGCAAGTTGCTGGTGTCCAGAGAAACTCCTTGTTTTTAGAAAATTATAGCCAAACCATCAAGTCCTTTAGCATTAATTAGCGTGAATGGTCATACTGTCTTCAGATGGGAATATGGGACACGTCATCTTTGGGGAAAGACTCTGGATGAGAAATAAGTAGAATTTAAATTGTACCTGTTTAAAACTCAATGTATCTACCCAGCTTTTACAACAGTTAAACAGATGTGTTTAAAACTTTAGTTAAAAAGCAATTCTGTTTCCTCATACAGGCAAAGTTTCGGAGTAAGGGCATGATGGAGAGAGATGACACCTTGGGGCACTCTCCTCCTTTGCCACCAGCCAACCTTCAGTCCCTGCACCCCATGGAACATTACAAGCCTCAATGGATGTGATCCCCAGCAAATCTCAGTGGTAAACGTTTGCCATGAGCTTGTCTCTCCAACTACCAAACTATACATAGGTAAAAACAAGAAACTTAAAAGTCTTTGATTAGAGGAAGCACAGCACAAGGTTAAGATGTTTCAGGTTGCATGCAGATAGTTAAAAAAGAAGCAAAAATATAGTTTCTTGTGAATTTTGTTAATTGGCACACACTCCTCTGGACAGGGCAAGGATCCTTCTCCTGCCAAGTCCCATGAGAAAAACCCGTGAACTTCCAAGGGGAGTTGGTCCTCCAGCCACAGTCCCAACCACTGACCTCGGATTTACACATTACTAAAACTGGCAGGAAGAATGACTGGGACATTTGTAGGCTGCCAGAAGCCTCTTAAGTGTGAACTTTAAGCATATGCCCTTAATTAACTAGAAAAGAGCTGGGAGTTGGGAGAAGAAGCCAAAACTGAGACACACCCTAAAAACCAATCCCAGCTGGAATGAGAATCCCCAGCCTGAGACATCTCTGATCTTAGTCACACATGGGAAACATGGCAGCTTAAAACTAAAAAATCTCTCTGTGTTTTCTGCAGCTGGTTAGAGCAGATATAAATAACAGTGAGTGTGAGAAACAGCCCGAGCTGCCTGATGATGTCATGGTGTGACACCGCCTGGACTTCATGGGGAAGGCCCTGAGCTGTGGCTACATATGAAGCTCCCAAGATCAACAGAAACACAGGACCTGGTACCTCCTCAGACATGGACCTGCCAAGATACACATGCAGCAGACTATGACAGGCACTGGGCTGGGTGGCCTGGAAGATCTAAGCAAGAATCCCAAGTCCCATTAATGCCACATGAGCCAAAGTTTGCTCTGGGCCTCCTTGATGTTATCAAGAGGCTGAAAGTGCATTTTAGCTGTGGATTTTGTTAGGTTTTTCTCATAGTTAGCAATTGGTGGGAATTGCTCTCAGGTACCTGAGTGTCTGTGAATGATTTGCTGTGGTTTTGGTTCCTTTAGCTGTGGTTACTGTGTGAGCAGGGAGAAGGAGCAGGCACGGGCAGGCCCCTGGGTAACGTTAGATAAGGCACAGAGCGACCTCGGCTGCTCTACTGACCCAAAGGTGCAGAGAAAAAAACGTGGGCAGGGTGAGTGGGGAAGGAGGTGGGCACAGGACACGGAGAGAAAGCAAAGAAGTGTTACCTGCTGCATCCTGCACTAAGGGAACGTCACTTTTTACTGGAGTTGGAGTGGCAATGATGGGCGAGAACCCAGCGGTGCTGGCGGCAGGCATGACAATGCCTCTGCTGGCTCCCAGAGTGGCACTGAGCAGGGAGTACGAGAGACAAGATGGAGAGAAGAGATAGGGCAGGGTGGGGAGGGGAGACCTAAGCAGGGCTTGTGAGAAAGATGGAGGCAGAGATGGTGGTGGAGGTTGTGGTGCAGTGTGGGCATCGTCGGCAGCAGCAGTAGCAGTAGAAGGAACCAGGCAGCCTGGAGAATGTGGAGAGAGAAAAAAAAAAGGCAGAAAAAAAAAAGAACAAAAAAAAAGGAAAAAAAAAGAAAAAACACAACAAAACAAAAACCAAAACAAAACAAAAAACAAAAGAACTGAAATGAGAACCCAAGAGCAGAAGCAATATGATGAAAATGGAAAATACATTCACAAATGTATGAAACAGAACTGTAATGGAGAAGGAACAGAAGGTGAGGAACTGACAGCACCAGGAAGAGAAGGGTTGTCTCTGCAGGAAGTAGAGTGGCTTTATGGCATGGGGGAAGAGCCACAGGGTTTCAGGCAGGAATTCCTGATTGACTGGTCCTTGTTCACCTATGTGGTGCCTGCCTGTTCCAACTACCAGCTGTAAGGGTGCTCTCTCTGACATCTGGGGGGTGGAGCTGCTCCTGCCTGGAGAGCATTTCCTAGGAAATGTGACTTGGGCCACCACTGACACAGGAGAGAGTGCCAGGAACCACTGCCCACAGAACCCTCTGGAGGAGCCACAATGTCATGGGGCAACCACTGTGGGGACCCAGCAGTGACATGAGGCTGGCTGGGCCATGGGATGGCCTTCATCTGGTGTGGGAAAGAAAAGTAGGAAAATTAAAGCAAACTGAGGCAGCCTATGCAGAGTATCACACTTAACCTGGGAAGGACAGCTAAGAGATTCCTTAAACTGTGAGATGATAACAGAACTCCAAACTGGCACCTGAATCCTGACAAGCTGACCCTGTAACACAGGGCAGTGTGAGATGGCTGCATGTTACCCTGGCAAATGGGACACAAGGGCAGGAACTTAATTCCCAAAAGAGGGGGTGATGGGGGTCTCCTCTGTGCAACACTGCACAAAGTGGAACAAGAGTTTCTGTGTGAGGAAGGGAGCTCTCTGAGCTGCTTTTATATGTGGCTTCCTGAAGATGTGGTAGGTTTTATCCCCTGTGTAGATAATATTTGCTGTTGTACAGTCCTTCTGTATCTCACCAGTACAGGAAAGTGCCTGACTTCAGATGCTGCTCAAGGAAATACAAAAAGGTACCAAGGGAAATGCCAAGTACAGAACAGGCCCACAGCTTTTTTTTTTTTTAAATCAACTATTAAAATAGACTCAACTCCAAGACCCAGGATAAAAACCTCTCTTCATGGGGACAAAAAAGATATGCTGTTAGTTCCTGGATGCTTGAGGTGCACATCTTGATGGACCTTTCTCTCAAGTGCTGGAGAGAGCTGGGTTAGTGTGAGGCACTACTGTGAAGTTGGTACAGTTCATATTTTAAGGTGCAGCTATCCCTTGGCCTCTCTTCATGAGTTTATCTCCCAAGAGAGCAGGCAACTGATGACCCATTTCACACCCCTGCCCTTCTCCTGATGTACTCCTGATGTACCTGCTGATGTACTTTCATTGCCCACTGGAGTGCTGGAGCAGCTGCGGTCCATGTTGGAAGATTCCGAGGAGATCCCCCCAGGGCTACAGCCAGTGTAATCCATGTACTCATCTGTTTCTGTGTCCATCATGCTGGGGGGTCCCTGGAAGGAAGCTGGGGTTCCTGATGAGGCTGGGCTGGGTGCCATGCTGCCAACCTGGGGGAGATTCTCATTTCTTGGAGTGTGGCCAATAACCTGCAGCAAGAAAACAGGACAGGGACTTTCACACCAAAAGCGAGATGCCAAGACCAAAACCATCTGTCTGCACGTTTATCTCTCTCCAGTTCATGAGGGATGGCTGGAACATGCTTGTGAGTGGAACCCATGGCACTGGGAGAGTGAATCTTCCTGCCCAGGGAGCTCAGAGCATTAAACTTGGCACGGGCACCCTGGTATGTGAATTGTGATGCACTCAGAGGCTGGGAGTGTTAATCTTGGCACCACCTCCTGGTGTGTGGATTCTGAGGCGTTCACAAACAGGAGGTGTTAATCTTGGCATTGCTGCCTCACTGTGTAGGTCCTGCTGCAGTCAGACCCTGGAAACATGACTGTCAGTGCTGAGGCACGGGGGACACACGTGTGTGCTGTGCTCACAGCGGCCTGGCCTTGTCTGGACAGTCATGGGTTGGTACCCAGAGTATATCCCAACACTGCACCAACTGCCTACAGAGTACCATGGCATGGGAAAAACTGTGGCAGCCCAGCAGTCTGGTCAGCTCTGCCACGAGCCCCAGGCTGTGGTTTGATCCTTGTTTGCTCGTTTGCTGGACTGCTCCATGGGCTGAGCCCAGACCAGGATGAGTGCTGTGTGCTCCCAGGACTGCTCAGGCCACCACTGCTGCTTCTCACTGACACAGGACTGCCAGTGAAAGGAGATGGAGGTCAAACCCAGCATTCTCTGCCCAGCATGCACTAAAATTCTCAGGTCTGAACTCAGCATGTGCTACAAGAGTAGTGAACACAAATCTATTTGTTAAACCCTGAGTTTGATTCTTGTACCTAAGCTTTCTGTGTAAAGACCCAAAGCTGCCACAACAGCAACACCAGTTCCTTGGCATCTGTGAACTCATTAAATCCAACAGCACTAGGCTTGAACAGTTCACTTACTGACAGTAGTTAATAACTAACAGGGACCTCTCATTCCCATGTTGTGGAATGAAAGAGGGTTTCCATCTTGCTTCTACAGATGGTCCTTTTTGTTTTCCATATACCAGATGATGTTCTTATGGTCAGATCAGCCACAGGCATTTAAATAAAGCCAGCTTGTTTCATCTCCCAAGTCAATGGAAGCTAAAGCAACTGAGGAGCAAGAACGAGCAGGAGGTGGCAGGAATGCTGTCCCTTGGAGCAGCAGCTCAGTTCTGAGGCTCTTCCATTTATTCAGAGAACAGATAAATCTACTCTGCTAGTTGCTCTCAGTTACATGTTAGAAAAGCAGCAACTGCATCACTGCTACTTCCTGAGAGAGGACAGGAGTGCCCCAGCTAACTCCACATCAATAAGGGAAGAGAAATTTCAAGCCTGGTATTTCTCCCATCTTAGGTGGAAGCAGCAAATGATTCTTTATGTGCAACAGGAAATGTTTGCTTTAACCAGCACGTTCAATTCTTCCACATCCTAAGCACTTTAATTTTAATAAGCCAATTGTGTATACTGAGAGAGCTGGGAGAGAGTGCAAGCTGTAAATATGATTATTTTAGTGTTATCCTTCTCAATTTTTTTCCCCATAATTCACAAGGAGAAGCTGTTTACACTAAGCAATGCCTTGCTGTCTGTGCTTCATCATCTTTCCTCATATCGTGTAAGTCCAGTGAGGTAAAGCCACTCTGGGTGTTCTCCCATATCCCAGTAGGATCCCCCAGTGCAGACACACATCCTTAAGAGTCTGGGTCCAAGTGTCCTGGCCCTGCAGCAGCTTTGCAGCCAAAGGGGCCAACGCTGCCTGTGGATCCACAGCTCCAATAACAGGAGTTACCTGAGTGGGAACACGATCGAAGTTCTTCCCCAGCATTCTCCTCATGTGCTTTCTGGCGTGGGATGTCATTTGGTGCTTGAGCAGGAAGGAGAACTGGCAGCCCTCTCGGATGCAGTGGAAGTGACTGTTCACCTGGTTGTATTTGCAACCTGCAGACACAAAACCCGTTGTATGTAGTGCATGAAGGTACGGGGAGGGAGCAGGGCTGGGGGGAAGGTGGTCGGACAGGACAAAGCTGCTGCCACGTGGGTTTCTGGGGGATTGAACATTATCAATGGCCGTGGCCTCTTCAGGAACAGTCTTGAAGGTAAAAAAACAAACCCACAGTCTATTGCCTGCTGAGCTACTGCAAGAGAGGATTACAGTGTATGCTGATTTAAGAAGTGAGCCTGAGCCGAGTCCCATCCCTCATTGTTTCATTATAAAGAAAGGAACATTACCATTACATCTAGTCGTGCCTAATGCTCTCCAGTCTTAGCTAGTGCCTTTTCTTTTACAAAGAGAACAAAACCAAGACATTTAGCTGTATCACAGAAGTTACAGTCAAAAATACACGCTCATAATTAGATTAGAAATAAAAAGTTCTTTTTCTCTTTTTTTCCTTGAACTGTGCTCTCGGAAAAGCAGTCTCCTATCAGCTCTAGCTCTGGACAGTGTGTGCTCTCTGGTCAGATAGGAATGAGCCAGGAAGTGTTCATTGCCACTCCAAATTTGTTGTATAATAGGGGCAGCTACTGAACAACAAGCAGTTCACTGGGTTCTGGCATAGAGCACTTCACACGTTCTGCTCCTCGTGGCTACAGTCATGTGTGCCAGGGGTGTGTGGCATTAACAATCCCAAACAGCCACTTCCTATAGCTGATAAATAATGGCTTGGTATAGTTCAAACACAGCTGTACCAATAATCAAGTTCTGCTGTTCTCCCCCTCCCTTGGCCATACCCTCAGATACACAGAGGTACAGCCAGGCTCACTTTTACTCACTTTTACGCCCATCCACCTTTACTTGAACACGTATTTTTTCATCTCTCTCTCCAATCATACACATATATATTTATACACACAGAAACATATATTAAAAAAACCCAACACCCTATCATGTGTGTTTGTTCAGAAACATTCAAAGCCCTTAAAGCAGGGCAGTGATTTCTGCTTACACCCATACACACACATTTTCTGAATATACCTCTACACACACAACATAAAAAGCAGAGACGTAGGGAGACACAGGGATGGATTCATGTTGGTATAACCACACACCCCCACACCACCCCATCACACTGCCTCTATCTGTGCAGGCAAATGCAGGGTGCTGGCTAAATGTGTGTTTACTGCACAGCAGGCCCAGCCTATGGGCACCTGTACAAGCTGCTGGATGCAGGGACCCCATCCCTCCCCAGCACAAACACTGCTGACACAGGCACAGCCTGGAGCTGCCACGCTGCCAAGCAGCTCCTGGATCACCCAGCCCATGTGGAGCTCTCAGACAGTGTTTTATGTCCATGCCAAGAGTGTGTTTGTTTAGGTATCGCTCTGCCCACAGCCCCACCTCTCCTGCCCTCCCCATCCCTCTGATCCCTGTGCTCTGGGACTGGGAACAAACAGTGCTGTGGGATGAAACACTATCAGCACAGGGCAGGTGAAGGCTCGCCTGTTGCCAGGGCACCGTGTGGGCTGGGTGTCATCTATCACTGTCCTGCTTTGTCTGGCCCCTGCTATCACCTGAAACACCCAAAGGTGAGCAAATAACACAACTGCTGAATCTGCTGCCATGTGTCAGTGAGACCCAGGCAGGTACTGGCCACAGGGTGTTGACACTCATTACCCTGGTTACCACAAACAAGCTGCCATTCGGGAACAAATTTTTTGATGTATTCAAAGCTGAGAAGTTTGGTTCTGGTTACTGTGGCTGTTTCCCTGCAATGGGGGGGAACAGCACCCAGAAACATTATTCTGAACCTTGTTTAGTTCCAGCCTTTGTTCCAACCAGGAGTGACAGGGAACTCTTGGGTCTGTGACACTGTTAAGCCAAACCACAACGAGAACCCCAGGAAGTTCAGGGCAGAGCTCTGCTGGAGCTCTCTTTAGGGACTCCCCCCATTCAGAGCCCTGGATTTCAGCTCTAGGTCCCTTCCCAGGAACTCATTCTACTTTCTGTTGTTGTGTGTTTGTTTTCCCAGCTTTGCACTGGAGGCACTTGGATTTAGTAACTGCTGCAGTGCTGCTGACAGTCCTGGCAAGTGGGCCAGCCCCAGTCTGAGGCTGTATTCCCTGGGAGCACGATCACAGGGGCTCTGGAGAACTGGTTTGGAGGAGAAGGGAGTAGTTTATTGCATGCTCTTCTCCATCTCTCTCTCTCTGGTTATTTGCCCTTTGACTTCCAAAATGCTGCACTGGCAATAGGTAAAAAAAAAAAAAAAATCCTCCTAAGAGCACCCTTAAGCTTCCCAACCAACAAACACCAAAAAAAAAAAAAAAAAGCTTTGACAATTAGATAAAAAGGAAAAACAAAGGGGAAGCTGTATGTCCAGACAAATACATATGTACAATTCTCTCCATCACAGTTTCTATCCATTTACTTTGAGTCTATTTGGGAAAACATGATGCACATCAGGAACTGCTTTGTGTTTTGTTGCCTGTCTTGTTTAGTGATTTAATGACCAAATACCTCTTAAGCAAAACCTGCAGGTCCTAACTCCTGGCATTCTTGGCCTGGGCATGGCACAGCCCACATGAGAAAGAGAACAAAACTCACCCAATCTGCCACATTCTTCCCTCTTGGTAAAATACTTGAAGCCGTTGGCTGCCCTCCTCTCTGCCTTCTCATGTTTCTTCACGTGCCAGGGCAGCTTGGTGGTGATGTTTGTCACGAAGTAGCAGCCAGGACGCAGACAGTGGTAATGCCCTCGCATCCGGAATTCACAGTGCTGGGGGGGCAAGCAGGCACCTGCTTTAGGCAGGACTAAAACAAATGCACCCTCACCTGCCTGCCACTAATGGTGTCCCTGCTGAGGAGTGAGAGGGGCCTGAACTGACGCTCCAGATCCCGAGCATTTTATCTTCCACAACCTGCAGAGCACCTGGTTCCCTCTTGTCTTTTTGCCTTGCTGTTGTGTACTCTGTAACACTCTGTGTGGCTTTCCCTGGATTCATCACAGATTTTTATTCTATTTCATCCTGTGTCTCTCAGGTCACTCTGGTCCCCCTGGCTGCTTCACCCCCTGCTTCACCCCAGTCAAACAAACACACAAGCACCGCAATTTCCCATTAGACAGAAACCAAACATTTTGCAAGACCATGTAATTAAGACCCTTCCACAGTTCTGTAGTTAGACCAGGAATGCCACACTCAGCCTCCCTTCCTGCTGGGGAGTCAGTGTACCTGATCCTTCTCCTCCTCCCACTCCCACAGCATTCCAGATGCTCTGGAATGGCTCTTACCTGGTTGGGACAGAGACACTGCAGGGAGTAATAAGCAAACTGGTCTCGCACGTTCACCAGGTTGTTGTTGGGGTTGATGTGGTCCAGGCAGTGGGATTCTGCTTTGCCAGAGGTTTTGCACACATACTTGCAGTTCCCAAAGAGACAGTGGAAGTGGAATTTGTTGGCGTACTTGCAGTCTGTTGCCAGGCAGGGATCACTGGAATACATCCAAAACCCAATCATCACCTTCACTCATTTCACACATTTGTTCCTTTGCCAAAATTTAATTCAAGGGGAGCCCAGCTGAAGCCTCTGTTCCAAACATGGCCCACAGATTTCCCATAGCCACCTTTCTCTTTAGGGAAATTGAAGCTGGCAGTGCTACTGCAATTCCACCCAGGCAGGGCACTTTCCTGATTAACATTATTAGAACACAGCAGTGCACGGTGGGTTCTGTAGTCTTTGAGGGCCACTCTTCCAGTTTAAAGCTCAACAGAAACAAAACTCTTGGGCAGTCCCACTGCAGGATCCCAGGGCTTCCCCTGATCAGACAAAATCATCACTAGTCTGCCTCATCTGCTCAATGGGTTTGGTACCTTATGCCCCAATTCATTCCATAGATTTCTGGCCCAATAACCCTTCAGTGTCAAAAATACTGCAGACACCTGTGTTTCTGTACAGCCCTCATAAGGGATAAAAAAGGAATCAGTGATATATCACCAAGTTTATTTCTCCTCTAAATTTGTGCCTAAAAGTGCTCTCAGATGTACTTGAAAATCTTGATTTTTTTTTCCCTAAGATAACTGAAAGTATTTCCTGGACTTCAGAGAATTAAATTTTCTGTGGGGTAAAGGCCAGAGTACTTTCTAGGCAGAAGGTCTCGGTGGTGAACAGAGGTGTAGTACTGCAGCTCTGAGGAGTGGTACAGAGGGCACTGCAGGGCTGGGGGGACAGAGGAGGCAAAGGGCAGCTCCAACTTACTTCTCCTGGAACTGGAGAAATCCGGGTTTGACCTGAGGCTTGGCGTTCTCCAGGGAAGTCGTTGCCAAGGGTGAAGCTGCCAGGTTAGGCACTGCTGCTGGGATCTGAGGCATCTGGGGTATAGTGGAAGCCAGCTGCTTCCAAGCCAGCAGTGTGGGGGCAGAGGGCACAGTAGCTGGACTTGGAGTGGGCACGTCGAGGGCAGGAGCACTTGCCATGGTGGCAGAAGTAGCAGATGGTGATGAAGGGGCCAGTGAAGCTTTACTCTCAGTAGTGGTTGAGAAGGGAGACTCAGAGTTACTTTTCACAGTTCCACCCTCAGTTCGGAAGTGAAAACTGCAAAAGGACAGCGTTCATTCAGACATAAATTCTTGACCATTGCAAATAATTTGATTAAACATCAACAAGAATGGGGCAGGAGTCTGCAAGCAAATTAGCTGAAGATAAATCCTAAAAGGGGCTCTGCAAACTGTGCGTAAAGATTTAGGGCCCTCCTAGACCGTCTGTGAGGAGAAGGGAATTCCTTAAGAGGGGTGGAGAAATCAGAGAAATGAGGTGTGTGAAACCAGGGAAATGCCACAGTTGGAGCTCAGTGTGCCTGTGGGGCAGCTTCCCAGGGGTGTGGAGAGAAGCCAGCAGTTTGTTGTAGTGAACTACAGGGAACTATCCAACAGGAGAGACCAACTGTGCCAACAGATCTGTCTTAAAATCTGCAACATCTCCTTCCCTTTGACCCCTTCAGACTCAGGCTGCCCAAGGCCTGACTCACTCTTTACTTGGACATTCCCCTGCCTTTACAAGGAACTTGGGGTGGTCTTGAGCTGGTCTCTCCCTCCCTGCAGTGCGTGCAGAGCTTTCTCAAGACTGCTGCTCTCCCACTTACTTGGCGTGTTTGATGGCTCCATCCAGGGTGCTGAACAGGGCCCCACATTCCTCCACCACGCAGTGGAAATGCACCTTGTGCAGGAAGTCACACTGGGCATCACAGAAATCCTTGGTGCCAAACCTGGCCAAAGCAGACAAGCAGGCATCTTAAGGAAGGCCCCAGGAGAGAAGCAGGGTTGGAACAGACATATTTCCTTTGTTTTTCAACTCTATCAGCGTTCCCACAAACAACAGTCACTCAAGGGAATCCAGATTCCCCTCCTGCCTTGAAGCAGCAGGGTATCCCACAGATGGGGGACAGGAAGCACCACCTATGTACCCACTGCAGCCTGGACTGCAGAAACACTGCAGAGCATCATCCCTGAACACAGAACAACCACCCTGCCACGGGAGCACCGTCCAGGATGTGCCTTGTGTCATCCTGGAGAAAACAGTCAGAGGGCAAAACCAGCTCAGTGTGGTGTCACTGCTCACCCACTGCTGAGATCCTCTGTCTTTAAAAGAGCAGCACAAATACATGTGGTTTCAGGAAACTCCAGAATCACAGGGAATGGAGAAATCAAGTAAGAAACACTGGCAGGAAGGATTTGAAACTTAACAAGGGAATCTTGCATAATTAAGATACAACAAACTACAGTTGCTCTGATGAGCAGGAAAGCAAGAAACAAACGGCAGCCTGTGTGGTCCCAGGAGGGACCTCTCACCAAGGGGAGGGTAAAGGGAAAAGAAAAAACTTCTACTGGAAAAGGCCAGGATATACAACACATGCTGTCAGTTATGGCTGCAGGGAGAAGAGGAAGGAAAGCAGTGGTGGGGTGAGAGAGATGAAAACAAGTTACTGCAAACTAAAGGGGGTGCTTTACCAGGGACAAGAGGTGCTCAACCTAAAAAAGAAGGCCCAATGAAAATGGGAGGTGATGAGTCAAAAATGGCTGCACTATAGCATTTGCTTTGGGTGAGAAAACTAAAGACAAAGCAGATAAAGGGACTGGTTGGAAAAATATAAATATACACAAATCAGCCAGTCTGGGTGATGTATGTCCTGAAGTGCAATGGAAATTAACTCCCAAACTGACTGCATGACTATTTGCTGATTTTTAAGCCACAGAGAAGAGGGAGGTACTATGTAATTGGAAAAAAAAAACCCAACAGTCAAGGTACTGGTTGTTTCAGGGGGAAAAAAAGTCAAGTCATCTTTGGCAATTATCACACCTCTGGCCTTAACTTCTCCTTCCAGTAAAGTAATGGAACAAATATTAAGAGGGAGGAGAAAATCATTAAACATCTAGAGGATAAAGGAACCATGAGCAATAAACAGCATCAGGATTATAAAGAATAAATCTTGCCAGACAAATTTAATTGCTTTTTTTGATAGAATTACAAAATTAGTGGATGAAGGGATGCAATATATTTGGATTTTAGTAAAGCATTTTGATACAGTCTCGCATATGCTCAGAATTAATTCCAATTGGCCTGGATGTGATGCCACCTCATGGCTTGAAACTGGCTGAGGGACTGTAAACAAAGGCTGATGACAACCAGCACCACACTGAGCTGGGAGGAGGCATCGTGTGAGTGCTGAGAGGAGGACTTGGGGTAGCCTGAGCTTATTTAACATCTTCATTAGTAATCTAGGAGTAAACAGCGTGATAATGAAATTCAGAGAAGATATACTAAACTGGGAGGAGTTGGCAACACCAGTGCAAGAGGAGAGAAAGAGCAGAGAGAGGCCTGGCAAGAGAAGGGAGAGAGTTCAGAGCACCAGAGTTGTGTTTGAAAACACACAGCTGATACACTCGGGGGGGTTTGTACACAGGGGACTCTCAGAGCAACACAAAAGCCTGCCCAGTGTCACAGGGGATGGCAAACACAGGACATACACATTGCTCTGTATAGCTGCAAACAGTGAGCTGCCCACATGGGGGGCACAAAGCTTGTTCTGCCTGGGTGATGCCAGAGCAAGGGCACAGAGTCAGACCAAAGGAAGTAAATAAGTCTGGTTAAATGGCACGCTGAAAGTCTGTGACCATCTGAAGGGAGTGAACTCCCAACTGCACAGAGGAATTATCTGCTGTGGTTCAAGGGGATACAACCAGAACTGCAACAAAACTACAAAAAGGGAAATTCAGGTAGCAAACATGGAAAAAAAATGTGACACTGAAACTTCTTAGGTGGTAGAATAATGCTCCCAGAGACAAGAAAATAGCCACACTGCCTGGCATAATTACAACTAGGCTGGACCAAATGCAAATGGACTGCAGGGAAGGATCTCACAGTGGCCAGGGGCAGATGGACTAGAAGACTTCCTAGTCTTTTCCATTAAAGCCTGTGATTTACAAAGTGTCCACAGGCATTTGTAGGCAATTAATCTGTGTCAGAGCACAAAGCCATGTGTCTGCCTGGGTGTATGTGCGTGTGCTCAAAGCATGTGTCTGTCTGGGCATGTATGTGTGTGTGGGTGAGGTCTGGACCTGTTCCATTTTCTTTTTGAGTCTTCCCTACAACAAAACCAGCAGCCACCATCCCAGTTCCCATACCCCTTATACTTACTGCCATGTCCCAAATCCCCCCAACTTTCTCTGTTTCAGTGGCCCGTGGTCAGAGGAAATGCCCCAGGAAGCCCTTTAAGGCTCCACGACCCCGGTGCAGTATCTGAACATGGTCCCACACAAGGTCAGTGCTAAGGGGACACTGCAGTGGGTCCCCAGGACTCACAGATCAGGGACATAAGGAGCAGCCTAAGATGACGTGCAGGCCAACACAGCTTTGTGAAGATCTGTGCTCATATTTGGTTCTCAAGATGCCTTTGGAAAATAACTCTCTGGGGCAGACATTCCTTACAGGACATCAGCACTTGGTGCAGGTAGCAGGGACTGAACACGCTCTAGGTAGTCAGGGTATGGCAGAGTCAGGCCTTTACATTTAGCAGAACTCTGAATTCAGGGGTGAACCTATGAGTCAGACACTTTGCAAAGAAATCCCTTCCCCTTTGCTGCATTCCCAGTTCCACGCTCTCCTTACCGGCGCAGGTACATCTTCCACGGCTCAGAGAGCTTCTCCTGGACAAGGGCCTTCACTGCCTTGCCCAAGTACTGGGTTGGCTCCCCAGCCCCAGCCTGGCTGCCATCACCTTCTGTCTTAATGTTCAGCAGGTTGCCAAGGCTGGCACTGGTCTTGGACATCTGGAACAAGAACACAGACACTGCATCAGGCCCAGCAACAGCCATGGACACCCTCAGGACTGTCCCACACCAAGCTGTGTCTTCAAAGATTGTGAGAAGACAAGAAGTCTGCACAGGCTGCCCCAACTGCATCAGCAAAACTTAATAACACCTCACTTCTGCATCCTCCACCCAACTATCACAGAGCACTCGAGTTCCCATTGAATATTCATGGCTCTTGTTCAGCAGTGAAGCCTCGTGTCTATTTTATACAGGGGGGAACTGAGGTGAAGAGAGGTCTCCTATTTGACTATGGAAAAGGTGTGCAGGCTAAAACAGTAATAGCCCTGTGGAGCTCCTACAAAATGCTGGTCTCTACACAGAGCTCTGGTAGAACTGGTAAGCTCAAGTTTATTTTGAGTAACCTTGTCCCTGCCCCAAGGATGTCTCCTTTTAAAGTGAGTATCAGGTATGTTGTGAGGGTGGAAGGAGGAGAATGTCATTCAACCTGGGAAAAAAAATTCTGCCTCTACTTAAGTCCCTGGAAAATTCTTATTAACTTCAATAATGAAATATGTCACTTTCTGTGCTAAATGGACACATCCCCCACAAAGCAGGACTCAGACTCACAATCTGCATTTTGTGAGGCTTCAAATTGACTCTGCACAGAGAAGGTTTAGAGGTCCAGATGTGGTATGCAGGATAGAAAAAAGAAGTCACTCAAGAGTGCTTAGAGGGAAAATTTTCTTTCAGAATAAATGCACAATTTCCCAGACCCTTTCTTGCTCTGTTGTGCTCTCAATTACCTCCAGTAACAACAGTGAATTTCACAGCGTGAATAAAATGCAGGATTGGGCCCAATACTTGCACTGGAAACTCCACCCACTCGAGGATCTCAAAGCCCTTTATAAATATCAGTTAATTAAGTCTGACAGCCCCCTAAATAAACTGCAATAGGCTACAGGAATCCTGGCTATTTGAGGCTCTCTTAATGCCCCCTGAAGGTAAAGCCCCTGCTGCTGTGTGGAGACTGCAACTCTTTATGGCTGGAGTCAGAAATCCAGGTCGTCTGTTTCCACTGGGGCGTTGGGCATTCCATTCCTGTAAAGGGCTCTTTTTCCTAGACAAACAATGAAGGATTCCCCCACGGACACAAACTGTGCAGCAAGAGGAAAAGACAAGTGTGATGTGTTCCTGAGCAGACCGAACTCAACTCAGTTCCTTAGAATTCTTGGAATCAGTTCCTTTAATCAGTGGGTTCTACTCTTTGCTGCTTTATGTCATTGGTTAATCCCCTTCTTTTAAAAAAAAGAACCTGAAGAACTCACAGTTTGCCCCTGTGCTACGCCTGTTTGGCACAACATAAAGAGTCGTGTGTCAGGCTGCACACAAGCAAATGCTGATTTCCAAGCACATGCTTAAATCCCATATTATCCTGGAGATTTTCAAGTGAAGTGCCCACTGAAAGAGAATTTCCCTGATTTGGGGCCTTCAGAATGACTCAGGACCCCGGAGAGCAAACTCACTACGCACATTTACTCGCTAGAGAAAAAGCTGCATATTTGGAACCACTAAAGGGACAATACATGGGAACAGATAAGAAATTAAGTTTAAAAGGGGACATCAAAAACCCAGTGTTAACAGAGAGCCCACGGAGGAGAAAAGTGACACGAAGGATAAACACAGAAATCAAACAACACAGTGAAAACCAGCGATGAAACAAGAGAGAAAGGAGGCAGGAGATTACGAGGTAAAGTCACTTTGCCCTCTCTTGAGGGTTATATGGCCTTGATGCTTGTAATGCCCAGAGCCAAGGGGTGGGCAATAGTTATGCCTGTAAAACCATCACACAGCAGAATATTAAAGCATGGCTCAAAGGCTGCCCTGATCTCTACTGCAGTTGTATGCAGCAGCAAAATTAATCTTGGTACAGTAGAATTTATCATGTGAAAGGGAAATATATATTTGAGATGATGTATAATTTAAGGAAAAAGTAAGGAAAAAGAAACTGTACATTATCTGAAATAAATATTCTAGAACACGGTAAAGGGGATTCTGTTGGACACCATTACTCACACCAGAAAGACAGGAATTGATGATTTTGGTTCAAAACTTCTAATTTTTTTCCTTCTCTTCCATAAAAACAAATTATTCGCCCCCTCCCCCAATGAAAAAAAATGTTTTTAAGTAAATAAACAAAATGAATAACTATAAAAAGAGAGCGAGAAAGAAGTTGCCAGGTTCTGGAAATAAAAATGAAAGGAAAAAAAAAAAAAAGCAAAGGAACCTTTCGGAGCCATCTAGAAAGGATGGAAAAAAAAAAGGTGTCAGAGGCTGCAATATATTTCTTCAGCCAGTTCATTAAATTAATTCGTAAGCAGTGGCTCTGAAATTATACCCGATGAAAAATGGTCTCAAAATTTAAATGGTACAAACTCATCTTATTAGAGGCAAAACATTAAAAAACAAACGCATCTCGGCCCCCCCTCCCCGCTATCGCGGCTTTAATTTCTCGTGGTGGGGGCAATGAAAGGCGTGTGATGGATGGCTCTTACCTTATTCATAAGCGAGGATAAAAGAGATGAATTTGCCGAGACTGTGTGGCCATTTGATTCATTACTGGAACACACAAACCAACAGGGTTTAGTTGAGATGTGCACAGGGACCGGGAGCGCTCAGATTAATCCTCCTCCCTTCAAGCTGCCTCGGTCCTCACCTGCTGCATCCGCAGGAAGAGAATGATGCCCACCCTCCCCTGGGCAGGCCAAACTCGAGATAGCCAAGATGGAGACAAAGGGAGCCCCGGGTCTGCAGGATTTACTTCTTTAAGCTCCTAAACAGCCCAGACCAGTAACTCAGTGTCCAACCCATCCAACCCACCACACTTCATTAGTTGACTCACAACCTCCCCCATGCTCCTTCATCCTGCTAGAACTTCCCACGAATATATCCCAGAAAACCAAGGGGGACGTTGCTGAAGACTCACACTGCCAGGGACATGGGGCCCCTGGGCAGCAGAGAGGAAGGCAAGGCAATGGTCAAGTGCTGAAAGGCAGCCTTGGGATCTCACACCATCAGCAGCAGCTCCAAGTGCTGGGGTACCAGGTTTAAAGAAGGTATGGCCAGGAATGTATAGAAAGGTCAAAGTGGAGCTCACTTATCCCCAGGATCAGTTCCTCTGCTCTTTTTCCACACAGGACAATCCCCAAACACTCCTGTTCTCAGCAGGTATGCCAGGCAAGTGGGACACATGTTTTGAGAAAGGTGCGTTCACATTGCACAACCATGACCATAACACCATGGATCATGCCAGACCCAGACCAGAGTTATCCTGACACTGGGCTGTTTTGTGTGTCCGATTTCTCTAGCAGGTGCTTCCCTCAGACCTTGTTCAGCAGACAGACAGCAGTGCCAGTGCTGCTGCTCAGAGTGTGCATAGGTGTGGCACTGGGCCTTTGATCAGCTCGGGATCACAAGAGCAGGACTAAGGGAAAGCAGCTCTGCCAGTGGCTCATTTTCCAGAGGGGAGGACAAGAGGTGAGGCTCTTGTCAAAGAGTCAAAAGGTGCTTGTGAGCTCAAAAAAACATCTGGAGAACATACACTTGAGGGGGACTATAATAACCATCCCTGCCTGCAGTTTTGGGGAGTCCAACTCAGCCCCTGTGAAACTGCCTTTCACCAACACTCCGTGTCCTTGTGTTACAGGTACAGGAACTTCCCAGAGCTCGATGCTGGGAAGAGCTCAGTGTGCCTGTCCCCTTCTCTCACCCGTGATCCTTGACGCTCAGGTCCAAGCTGTGCTCCTGCAGGGAGTCCTGACTGGTGGCAGATGATGATCCCATGGCCTCCGCAGGTTCCTGCTTCACCTGGACTGGATTGAACCGTCCGGGAGCTGCTGGTTGTCCATTCCCTGCTCGAGAAAGACACCCAAATTAAGTGCAAAATTTAAACGAAAATGTAGGTCTAAAATGAGGTTACAATGGCAAATAAGTAAGTTAAATCACTGGCACCAGTGCCTAAATGGAAAAAGCAAAGGAAAAGTGTGGGGGGAAGGGAAGTGCTGGGATTGCTGGTCAGCGTTTATTGCCAAGTTGACATGATGGGTTCTGACGTCCACTCCAGCGTGGAAATTCTTCAAGTGATAATTATTGCAAAATTATGTCAAAGTTGTCCAGGCTATGGGCCCTTTAAAGGAGAAGGGCGGAAGGAGCGTGGGGGAGACCTGATTCTCTGCACAAACTGTCATAACTAATTTGCGGGGCTGCCTCTTAAGCGTTTATTAAAGACTCTGTTAATGCTGAGGCAATGTGGCAGCTTTCGACTGCTAGTCAAGCCCCCTTCCCCGTCCCCAATCCCAGCGTTGCCGTAGCGACAGCGCCGGCCCCGACACTGCGCCTGCCCAGCAGGAGCATCTGCCCCGCCGGGGCGATCCGAGGTGACAGCGAGGGACCCGCGACCTCCCGCCACCGCCCCCGCCACGTCCCCACCGACCCGGCAGTGCTGCTCCGCGGGGAGCTCTGCGGAAAGAAAAATCCGAATTAAAGGAAGAGAGGGGGAAAAATAAAAAAAAAAAAAGGGAGGGAAAAGGGAGAACAAATTAAAGAGAAAAAAAAAATTAGGAAAAAACAGCAAAGAAAAAAGGAGGGAAAAAAAGTTGCTGACAGGAACATGTCTGCAGAGCTTTTCTCCACAATCCCCAAGTGACTAAAATATTAATTTGCCCTCCGGCAGTACAGCTGACAGCGAGCTGCTTCTCAGACAGCAAGTGGCATTTTATTAAAAAATAAAGGAAAATAGTTTCCTCAATGACCTTTCTCTGCTTTAGGAAACAATTTTTCAAACAATAATTTTAAAAGTATGTGAAAGTTCCCCTCCCTCTTTAATCAGATCGCTTCGTCCTACTCCCCCGTTTGCTCAGCACTCCCACAGCCAGGGTCAGCAGCTGCTCCAGCCTCTCCATGCCCCAGGAAGGAGCTCCAGGGCAGCCCAATGCCATGGGGGCTGCCAGGCACAGCCTCCCCCCATGACCCCTCACTGCCCACCAGGAGCTGACCATGTTCAGCAGACTGTGGAGGTTCCCTGTGCTCTCCTGGGAACCCCATGTCCCTCTGGAAGGGCTGGGCATGGGCTATGACCTGCATCAGGTGTAGGTGGCAGCAGCAAGAGCTTCATGCTGCCCCAGGGGAGTTCTCATTTCCATCTTTTACCTCCTCAGGGAGCTGCAGGGACAGGTGAAGCACAGCTTGCAAGGACTGACCAGGAGAAAGGTCCTGTTTGTGGACTGTACCAGCACTATCCCCAAACCCACAGCTGGGGCAACAGAGCTGGAGCACAGAACCGGCATCCCAGACCAGAAAAACAACAGGCCATGGGCTACAGCATCATCACCACAGGGACCAGCTAAAGCTCATACAGTCTCTGCACAGCCTGCAAGTATTGGCCAAGCTTTTCTTCATTTCCATTTTCAGTACAGTGCCTCTCTCTTTTCAGCTTACAGCAAACTACACATGGCAAAACTCTTCCTTCAGCTCCTTTTGTGGGCAAAGCTGTGTTTCCTGCCTCTCTTCTGGCCAGGTGGGTATAGCCAGAATCCACGGGAACCCATGCCAAGACTGCCCTCTCCAAGGGCTAACTAGACACAACCAAGTTCACTCTCCCATTCATATTCCTTTACTACCTCCTTCCCACCTCCAGTCCCATGGAAGTGGGAAGGAGGTAGTAAAGGAACATAAATGTCACTGGGTGGCTTCTCATTCACTCTCAGTCATCAGGCACTGCTCTGCCTCCCACCACTATCACCACTGATGGGGTAACTCACCTGCTTCAAGTGCCACAGAGGGCTTGAGTGCAGCTGCTGCCAGCCTGGCCATCATAGGAGAGATTAATCCCTTGCTAGCAGAGATCCTTTCCATTATAGATGCTGCTGGAGCTGGAGAGGAAGTAGCCGCTGGCTCACCAGATCCTGAGACTGCCTGGGACGAGGAATCTGCAGGAGCAGATGATGTTGGATTGGCGCCAGAAGAACCAGCAGTCATCAGATTAGCCGAGCTGGCAGGCAGTGGTGTAGAGACCCGACTGGGGATGATGGGGAAGAAGGATCCAGCTGTCCCAGGAAGTGCTGAGTTGGAGAGTGCCAGGGCCAAGGGTATATTGCTGGGAAGAGCCTGGGAGAGCAGGCCAGAGATCTTGGTGGCTGGTGTCATGCTGTTGGCAGCCTTGGTGGCCTGTGAGGAAGCGAGCTCGGCCGCAGAGGAGGGCGCGGCCGGGACGATGAGAGACACGGAAGACTGTTGGCTGGTCGGGGAGGCACTCAGGCTGGAGTTCTTGGAGCTCATGGCAGAGAAGTCAATGAGGTCATCGTTACTGGACTCCTCCTGCTCGTTGTCCTTGGAGCCCAGGAGAGAGGCAGGCAGGCCCAGCACTCCCGAGCTCCGGATGTGCCGGCGCTCGTGTTTGCGTTTGTGGGAGGTCATCTGGCTGGTGGAGGTGAAGGTGAAGCCACAGCCTGCCCTGATGCAGTGGAAGTGGTTGGTGGCCTTGCTGTAGACACAGCCCTCATACTTGCATTCCTCGTACTTGTAGAACTTCTTGAAGCCATCCTTGGCATAGGCATCATCTTTGATGTGGTAGCTCTTGTGCTTCTCAATGTCACACTTGTTCTTGAAGGTGAATGTGCACCCAGGTCTCCTGCAAGGGCATCGAGGACAGGGGGGTTGGCTGTGTGGGCAGGAGCACAGCCCAGCTGCTGTCACCTGCCTCCCTCTGGGACAAGGACTGGGGCCGGGATGAGACAAAGGCCTGGCTGCAGAGGGGCTGAGGAGCTGTGACACCAAGGCCAGCAGAAATGCTGCCATGTGGGACAGCTGGGATGCTCACTCCCCTCAGAGGAACAGCCACAATAACACAGGCACCCTCCACTGAAAGTTCCAACCAGAACAGCAGCTAAAGGGGACTAAGGTACAAACTGTGCTTTCCTGCTCTTCCTGAGAACATGAGAAATCAATAGAAGAGCAGTTGTGCACAGAAGGCCCAGTCAGGCCCCAAAAGGGATGAGCTGGCTGGAAAAAACCCTACCATGGAAGTGCCATTAGCAGTGTATTAAGGGCCTACTTCAGCTGCACTCTGATGAGCAATGTGATCTCTTTCCTAAATGATTCTAGGATGTATTTTCTAGTGGGTATCCTCTCCTCAGATCATACTCCTGCCTTCAGAGTGGTCTCTGGAAAGATCCTGGAAATCCCATCTGCCCTGGAACATGAGTTCTCTCAGGAGCAGGACTGTGAAGGTCACAGCAGGGAAAACCAAGTCCCTGTGCACACTCCTGAAATTAGGACTTGGTAGAAGGAGGCACACAGAGCACAGAGCTCTGAGGCAGGATTCCTCCCCCTCCCTGTTGTCTCACCTGCAGTGAAAGTGAGTGGTTTTCTGCCCATAGAACTGGCACTCCACAGTGCCACAGTCCTCCGTGGCACGGAACCGCTGGAACCCGTCGTTGATGAGCTGAGTGTTCTTCTTGTGGAAGTTCTCGTGGGTCATCACGTCAGAGGTGCTCGTGTAGACCTTGTTACAGCCCACCTGCCCCAGGCCAAAACAGGAGTCATCAGCACAGTGGTTTAACAGCCTGCCATCATCACCAGCAGTAATAAACACACGAGCAGCACACATACATTTAACAGTTCCATTTGTGTGCTGCTCCTTGGAGTATTAAGTCATCACTTCAATTCCCAACCTAAAGACTGAGAGAGCAGTTGTGGGAAAAAAAAAACCAACCCAACCCAACTCTCTGGGCATGAAACAGTAAGAAAAAAAGGGAGGATTGAAGGGATAAAAGACCAGCTCTGGATAATCATGCCTGCTTAGGGAGGCAGTAAGCAGGGTTCATGCTCTTAAGGAGAAGGGAAGACTAAGAGATGTTGTTACTTGTTGTTATCTTGGGGTGACATGGAATGAAGCAGGAGTTTCAACTATTTGGGGAATACAAAATTGAGTGGGAATAAGTTATTTACCTCTTTAGTCCTTCTGAGAGGTAAGGCAGGGTGATGCAACATGGGGCCAACCAATCTTTCGAGGTCGTAATAAACAGTTTAATTCTAGCAAAGCTTACACCCAGTGTTCAGCTGGTGACTTTTTTTCCCTGTCCCTGCTCAAGACTTCCCACGTCAATAATTTTAAACTTGTGCAGCAAATGGGAATGGTGTGATGAGGAGGGAATGCTGAAAACCTGCCTTCCTCTGGGCAAACCGGGCAACTTTGCCATATTGAGTAAAAAACCACTGGAATCCCAAAACGTCCTCAGCCCTGCTGAGGGAGGATTTTTTTTTCTTTTCTTCTAGCACAACGTGTGCCAATGCCTGCACCATCTCAGAACTGAAGAGAACAAAAACACCACCCCTTAGTTCAGCCCAGGTTGATTCAAACAGGCCATAACAAAACCCATGACAAATACCCAGGGAAAAAAAAAAAGGATCTCCAGCTATTTCCAATATTAAAGAGCTTCTCTCTCTCTGCACTGACACCTTGAAAAAAGACAGGCCCTGCACGGTATTAAAAAAAAGAATTAAACAAAAACCTCCTTAGGAATAATTTGCAATGCAGCTCTTGGTGCTAAAGCCTAAAAAAATGTCCGTTTATATAAACAACTAACTGAATTTTATCCACACCAATTATGGACATAAAGAAAAAAAAACCCCATGAGATGGATGGCACAAATTCTGCCATTTAAGCAGTATTTTCTTTAATTGGGAGTTTATATTCAGACACCTTTCCTGTAAGACACTGCTTACAAGGGCGTTATTTTACTGGAAGACAGTGGGCACAGGGTGGAATTAGCCATATATAGTTGTGTAAACGAGGGTCTCTATTTGAACTCAGAGTGACTTGAAGCTGTGAAACACTCCTTGTACTCTAAAAAAAAATTAAATTCTATCTTGCTCAATTGAAGAAACTAAACAATCAATATTATGGAAGTGTAACAGAAAATGTCCTCAACAGTAAGTCACATGAAGTTCCCAATTTATCAAATGCTGTAAGCACATGCTTCAACCAGCCCCTATTCAGGACAGAACTTGAGTGCATGCCTAACATTTAAGTATGTGCTTAAGCCCCATTGACTTCAGAAAGCTTACCTGACTTCAAGTTAAACATATGCTCAAGTCTATCCCAGCAAAGCATTTAAGCATGTGATTAAGGCCTTGTGACTTTAACTGGGATCTTAAACTGCTGGGACAGGGCAGGGACTGAGCCTGACTCTTCTGACCAGAAAAGCTGTCACCAAGGGTTGCCTGGTCCCTCTGTAACTACAGCACATTCTCAGGGCAATGGCTTAGGCCACAACTCCGATGAAATGAGCACATGTCAAACCCTTGAATCTGAGGAACAATCAGGGTGAGACCCAAACAATGTGGTGTGTCTGTGTCTAGAACAGTGAGGGCATCTCAGAGACAACTGTGCAGCAGCTCCAGCTCTGGCTGTGCCCTGGCTCCTGGAACATGGCTCCAGTGGACATCACACACAGGTACCACTGGTGGGGGAGATGGAGAACCCGGGGGGTTAAGTCTAAGTAGGTGACATTGAGGTTTAATTACTTTAGAAATTGATTATGGAGGAAATTAACCCAGTGTTGAAGGGCAGCTGTGTCACAGAAAAGTCTGGTTTCAAGGGAGGAACAGATCAGATTTGAGTGGAGGCAGAGGTCCCTGAATCTTGGAAAATGGGACTTGCTTGAACAAGTGAAGTCCAAGACTGTGAGAAAACCTTAAGACCTGCTTTGCCTCACTGCATGGACAAGGCTTCTAACAACAGAGAATGGGGCTTCCCTCTGCCCTTCTCAACACTTGGCAGGGCAAGTGCAGCGAGGACAGGGCACGGACTCTTCAAAGGGGCTCCTGAATCAGAAGTGAGCAAGACAGGCTATGAATGCCCCCCTGAATGTCACCCCTCTGCCTCAGAAGTGTTGGCCTGAACTCAAGAACCCTTGAAGAGCCCCGCAGGCAGGACAGGGTTCCAGCAGTGGCCCTGGCTGTGCCCCCATTACCTGCATGCAGTGGTAGTGTGTGCTCTTGCCGTTGAGGTGGCAGCCGTGGTAGTACACGCTGCAGTCGTCCAGGGGGCTGAAGCGCATGAAGCCGTGCTGCAGGGAGTTATCCCGCTTCTTGTGCATGTTGTAATGCCGGATCACATCCTGCTTACTGGTGAATCTCTGCAGGGGGACACAGACAGACACACACGCTGAGACTTGTGGTGCCAGTGGGGGAGTAATCCCAGGGCAGGGTGGGTTTTGTTGTTGTTAGTGGGACCGGGAGTTTAACGCTTGGCAGTAATCACCCCAGGAGAGTCAGGCTGAAGAGGAATCGTGTGCATCTATCTCCTTGGTAAAGGGAAAGTAAACATGACACTGGGGTGATGTCCAGAACCAGCTCCCTGCAGCTTTAAGACTGCAATTTTTCTAATATAATTTTAGCTGCTCCTATCTCAGGAAGACCTATAGATAGAAAGCAAACCAGTGAACTAAACAGGCTGCAAGAGAGTAACCCAAGCTTCCAAATCACTCACTGTAGTGGTTAGCAAGGCACTGGCTGCCACACTCATGTCAGACTGGGAAAAACACTCTGCTCTTTCACACTGTTTTCCCATTCTAAGTCTCCTGCCTCCCCTACAGGGTAGGATGGCTTTATTAGGAAAACAGGGACACACAACTTCCTTCCAGACACAGGAAAAGATGGCAGTAGAGCTCAGAACTAAATCTGTATGACCAGAATATCCTTTTAATCCTCTACCTGCCTGAAGGAATGAAGGGGTACCCCACTGTCAGAGCAGGCTAAGTGCCTTTAAAATGAAGCTTTTCATTTTTATTTCCCACAGACATCAATATTTAACACTAAAGGTGGGAAAGTAAATCTGATTTTTTTAAAAGAAATCAATATCCATTTATTTTGAGGAGTAATTGAAAAGGCCTGTATTCTAATGTTTAACAACTTTTCCAGTCTCCCTCATAGGAAACAAATGATTATCGCTTCCACTCTTTCCTCCTATAATATCAATCCTGATCAATCTCGTTGGTATTGGCACGGGAATATAGGGATATAGATTTCAACAGAAATCCCTTGGAGGCTGGAGGTATGATTTCCCAGGGCGTACATACAGGATTGCTATTGCCAATCATTGTTAATTTGTGCCCACTTATTACAGAGCGTTACTTATTCTAAAATATATCTCAGCCATAAAATAATTTGCATTTTAAAAAGCAGCCTAAATCCTTATTCCCTGCGAGACCAGACAGTTCCTTTGCAAGCAGCTTCCAGACTCCTTAGGAAATAATCATGAGGCCAATCATAATAATAGGTTTTTCTGTTTTTCCGTCCTTTGTGTTTCTCTCTTTCTGGTGCAGGGATATCCATGGCACAGTTGGGACAGGCTCATCTCCATTACTCGATGCTGGGTAGGAGGACACTGAGTGCATCCCAGAGAGAAACTCTCCTTTGATCAATAGAAACCCACAGCCAAGCTCAGCAGATCCAGATCGACTTCCTCTGCTGTGGTCAGGCTCATCCCTTGGAGACCCAGAGGTCTCCCGGGGCAGGGCTGAAGTTGTGCCTGATGCACAGCAGAGGCCAACCCTGGGATTCCCACTTACACACCAGCCTGACCACAGAAATGGCAGTGTCAAACTTCTGGACCTGGGATGAGGGTAAACAAACACAGCACGTGACCCGCTGGCCTGACGTGGATCCCCTGGCAGTTCTCCCAGGAATTACAGCATCGCTCCTGCCCCCGCGCCTTCCCCACAAATCCCGGACCGCCGCTGGTCTCGCTGCCTGTTTTGTTGCAGATACTGCTGCTACAAAGTCACTCGGGCAGCGGGAGGGAAAGGGACAGACTAACAGATCAGCATTCCCTGTTTCAGGCACAATTTGTAACACAGCACAATTTATGCTCTTGGTTTCACTGATATAAATCTGGAGTAGTTCCCACTGACTCGAGCTGATCTATATTCTGCTCTTCCTTGTAGCGGTCTGGCTTTGGTTAAATGGTATTAGATTGAGTTAAACGGGAGCAAAATAGAGTTCTATTAAATTCAGAATGTATCCTGTCCTCTTTCAGAGCAGGAAAGTGAAAAGGCATGTGTGGGCACCGGGGAGGACAGCACAGGAGGACACACATCTCCCCCCCTGCCCCGTGTGCTCAGGGGGCTGTGCTGGTCACTCCTGAGCAGGGTTTTTTTACCTGGTAGTTGCACTCGGGGTCGAGGCAGTGGTAATGTTCTCTGTACTGGTATGCACAGTGTATGTGCCCACAGTGCTGGCTGCCCGAGAACCTGCAACAGCAGAGCAGGGGAGAGAATGAATGAGACACTGTCCTGGCAGCAGTGCCTGTGAGCAGGGTACAGATAAAGTCCTGTTTTCATCCCACATGTTTACGGCATTAAACCCCATCTCCTTTATCCCCCCCAAGGATGGTGACCCTCCCGCCTTCCCTTGCTTATTTGTCACTATTTAAAGGTGCTTCTTGAGCCGGATCATTCAGGTCTTGTACATCCCTAATCTGTTTTTCCCCTTGAAATTCATCTTCGTTATCTAAGTTGTTTACTCGGGAAGCACAAAGAAGGAGGGTTCCTTGAACTAACCATCACACAATTCTAGAATTCTCATGTGGGGGTTTAGATACCACAGCAGCAAGTGTCAGAAATCTCCCATGACAGAAGGAGACAAATAAAACATTGGGCAAATATGGATTTGAAATTTGCAGTCTAAGCCCACCTAGTAGGACCTCAGAAAAGCTGCAGACAGCAAATCTGAAAAACTCCAGATGTACAGGGTGGAAAAAAGACCAGAAGTGCCACATAATACCTACATACAAACAGTCAGTACATCTAATGTACTGACTGACAGACATACCAGGAATTGGCACAAGGGGATGATCCAGTAATGGGGTAATCAGTGCAGTGAACTCTCTCATGTATATTCTAGAGGACCATGGAAGAGCTGAAGAGCTTGAAAGGGAAAAGCAGTGGAGAGAAGGGGACTCAGAGGGGAAACATTCAAAGATAAAGTACCATCTGCTCAAAGGTTCCTCAAAGGTTCCTCACGTCACTTAGTGCTAAACACAGCAGGAGTGCATATGATAAAGGGCATGGGAAAGAAACAAGGAAGGGCAGTGGATAGAAAGGGAAAATGAGAGGAGTGAGGGCGTCCTGGAGAAACTGAAGAACGGGGCAGGAGGAGAAAAGATTATGGATCATCATAAGGTGAGGTAACGCCAGGCTACAGGATAGAAAAATTCAGGATGAAAAGCAATACTAAATAAGGCATTTCTGAAGCACAGTAAGGAAGAGGAGGTCAACTGTGGAGACAGCAGGGCCTCTAGGAGATGGAAAGGGGACTTAATTGACAGAAAAGATAGACATTGCTAAAAAATTAAATGACTTCTTTGCCTCAGCATTCACAAAGGGAGACAGGGACAGATGCCAGGAGCAGACATGCCTTTCCCTGGGGAAGGAGAAGAAATACTGCAGGAAATCAGGATCACGTCAGAACAGGTGATTGAGAAACTGGAACAAACCTCAGCAGCAGGAGAAGAAACAAACCACAAGGCAAACGGCAGGGCTGGCTGCACAAACAAAGGTGTGGAGCCCAGGGCAGAGGGAGCTGCTCCTGCTCAGTGCCTGGGCAGCTGCAAGGCTCGTCCAGGGCAGGGGCAGAGTCACCCTGGCACTGACCAGCACAGGGAGCCAACTGGTCCTGCCAGTCCAGGCCTTCATGTCAACAGCACCACCAGCAGCTCTTAAAGGAAAGGAGTTTCAAAGGCAAGAGAGAGCAAAGGGCTGTGTGAGGCTGGAGAACTGTGGGTGCAGGTCAGGCAGAGGGAAAAGGAAGATAAAAGACCTTGCTGACAAATACAAAAGCAAAGCAGGCCAAAATATTATCAAAAATGAGGATGCAAAATGACCAGAGATGCCAAGTGGAGTGAAAGAAGGGCCAGACACTGAAGAGATCTGGCTATGGGATGATCTCAGTTTTAAAAACACCAACTAAACAAGCACTCCAGCACTTCCAACTCCTACCCTCCCTTCCACGTGCCACAGAAAGGTGTGTGTGGTGCCTACAGCACAGGAAGGCAAGTGTTCCACCAAACCCCGTGCTTGGGGAAGGAGGGAAGCAGCAAACCCAGCACAAAGGGGAAATTCTGCTCCTTCAGTCCGTAAGGTTGGGCTCCTAAAGGGTTATATTCATCCTGTGTTTCTTCTGACACTTGAAACAGTTCAAAGCTATTAATTTTTAAAGCACAGCATCTGTTTAGCTTTTTCATAACAGGAAAGCTTACACACCACACACTCACTTACATGCAGACACACGGGCACATTTACATGCACAGACTCTCAGGTACATCAACACCCCTCTGAATTTACATGAACGTACCCACAATTTCCATGCACACAAACAGACACAAACACACCTGAAACAGGAAAACTCAGACCACCTCATCGCACTGATATGCAAAGCCCAATTCCTAAATTGTCCATACAGGCCCTGTAGATTCATTTGCCCAAGAACAACACATTCCCTCTTCCCTCACTTTACTTTTTTTTTTTTTTTTTTGGCCAGAAAGAACTAGTCTTGATCTGGTAAGAGTTGATAAATAAATAATAATAAAAATAATAAATAAAGAAGTCAGCATGCTTAGAGAGTGTTTACAGACTCATTACTCTGTAACGATGATATGAAAGAAAAAAAAAAAACCCACCCCAATTACAAGGGGGGAGGAAACCCACACAGAAATAAATATTTAAGCAAGTGCTGCCAGAAGCACCATCTGCTGAGGCACTAATAATAATAATAATAATTTTTTCTGTGGTCTTTTTTTTTTTAATTATAAATATACAGAGGGGGGGAGGCAGGGGGAAAAACAACCCAACCCAAACTAGCTAAGTAAGAGGTTTTGTTTTGTTGTGTGAGAGAATGGATTATCCCTGGGCAGCTTTTGGCAGTGGCTTTGGCAAACTCATTAAGCTAATTATGCAGTACAGACATAAGAGTGTCGTGTCTCTCTCCCCCCACCCCTTGATTTTAAGGCTTTAAACTGTTTTTAAAAATGTGTGTAAATTGAAGGGAAGTGGCTGTGCTGCCAACGGGCGGCTTGCGGAGCCTTTTAAGCAGGATGTGGTGTCCCTGAGGTATCTCACGAGCCTCCCCCAGCTACTGCCTGACCCAGGGGAGGGGGCTTGCAGAGCACCAAGAGCACTGGATGTGGCTCAAGTGTTTATTTACACAGTTCTCTGCTAGAGAGGGGAGCAGGGGACAGAAGGGTGCCACCTCCTCTCCCTGCAATTCCTGCAATCTCAGAAATAAAAGGGTGCTGCTCCTTCTGCCCCATGCAAGGAGAGGTTTAAATCCCTGCTTTCCTTCCCATACTCTCTCCCAAGGCAGTGAGTTGCCACACGCTTGAGGAGCTGCATGTGGTGGTGCAACTGCCCTCTCTTCCCATGGGGTCTTCTCCTCCCTCCTTCTGTATCTGGGATTTGGGCAAAAGAGGAAAGGAAATCACCTCCTGTTCCACTCTTCAGCTAAGGGAGAGTGCTGTTCCAACTCTCCTGAGGTGCCAAGATCTCCCCCCGCACCTTCCTAGCAGCTGACTGTCTCCCACGGGGAGACTCTCTGTAGACTCTGGCAAGGTAGGAAAGCACAATACACATTCCCCTCCCCTCTTGTTAATAAGTGCTGGTGGGATCAAACCCCTCAGCTTTATTTCTGGAGAGAAGTGTTTGCTTGTTTCCCTGACTGGTGTCTGTCTGGGTACAAGGGGCTTCCTTGTGAGCTTTTTTCACAGTACAGATGGAGGATTCAACAGGCCGAGGGCAAAGGCTGAGGGACCCTTTACACCAGGAGCTCTGAACCAGGCAGGTGCTGTGCAGTGATCTCCTCTGTCCCTCTGGCTCTCATGGTATTGCTCACTCTGTCTCCCCACAACCACCCTGGGCTCCCTCTCAGCACTGCTCAGTCCTGACCTAAGCTCTCCCACAGCTGGGATAAGGTGCCCTACTCTGCACCTGACTCAGGGAGGGTTTCTCATACAAATGAGCTGCAAAATTTTCTAGGATAAAAATCTCACGGTGATGCCAAAAGCTGCCTAAACTCAGGTCACTCCTGGATGCCTCCAGCCTAGATTCTCAGAAGTGAGATGTTCTCTGCTTGCCTCCTGCAGGCACTGGACATGGCAGGGGGAAAAGGCTGGAGACAGCACAGCAATGGGCAGAAAGAACAACAGTCAAGAGGCAGCATTCCCATTTAAATCCTGGGCTTCTGCAGTGAAACAGTTTTCCACTATTTGTCACGAAGTCTAACAGCTCTGGGGAGTCGAGCATGCTCTTGGCATGCTTGAACACCTCTCACAGCTACTGCTCTCCCAAGCAGGGCAGCAGAGCAAGTACAGCTGCCAAGGGAAATGGAAGTGCCAGTGACTGGTTTAAACACTTGATCCAGATGGACAAGACTTCATCTCTCCCACCACCAGTCCACCCTCTTACATCCAGCCCTCTCCCCAAGAAAGTTAAAAGTTTTGCCTACCTGGCAATATACTTCTGGTAAATATTTACATCTTCGCTGACGGCTGGTTTGTCAGTGGGTAATCCATTCCTAAGGAGAAACACACAGGGCAGAGCTGGTTAGCAGGGACAGGGCACTGCCTAAACTCCTTGTTTCTCCCACACACCACTGACACACCAGGAGAGAGTGCCCAGGGAGGAGCACCAGAAAAGACCTCCATAGGTTTAACCTCCCTTCCCCTTTCCCTTCCAATCCTGTACCTCCTTCTCCAGGGAACCACACAGTCAGCCTACCACCCTCCTGCATGTTCCTTCTTTGCAGGACCCAGTGTAGTTTGTTGGAGAAATCAAGATCAACCACAAAACGCTGTTTCTACAGAAAAAACTAAAAATCCCTACGCAAACAAGTGATGGCCACATGAAAACAAACACCTCAAGCACCTGGCAACGCTGCCCTTGTGTGCACGGTTCAGCTGAGGGAGAAGAACTGTGAGCTCCTGCCCATTTCCTGTGGCCAGCAGACACCCTGCGCTGTGACCAGCACTGGAACCACGGCTCCAGCCCCTGACAGGGCTTCAACTGCCTCTCTGTTTCACAGACACCCCAAAACTCCAACAGACAGATGGAGCAGCAAAGGTATTTACGTACTTTAATCAATGAGAAAGCCAACCCAACTGTCACATAAGCCTGGGTTATTTTACATCATTAGTAAGCAGACAAAAATAACATCCTCAGTGAGTTCAGCAAGAGAGAAAACGAGATACAGGGCCAGGCTCCAGCCTACCCAAGAGACAGGGGCATACCAAGGCCACCCCAGACAGGCTGTACTCATCTCCCTTCTCCTCCAGTGCTCCTCGTGACAGCCTGGTTTAAACAAGGACACTTTCGCACAGAGTTCACTGGAAGGTAGATTAGTTCAGGGCAGGTTAATAGCATTAGATGTCAGAGAGTTTAAACCCATGGCAAGGGGGTATGTGCATATGTGTGAGAGTGAGGGGTAACTCCTGCCAGGTCATTTGAACCAAGTGGGCACTGAGAATGGACAGCCAGGGCCCAGATACCACAGTCAGTACTTCCTCCACCAGCTCAACTAATGGAATGGGCTGCTGTCTTTTATCATGGAAGCCTGTATCTGGAGATCAGCCTGAAGGGGAAGGGCCCAGAGCCCCTTCTGTACTCCAGTGTGTGATTGGGACATGGCAAGTGCCAGGCTGAAGGCCCTGGGCACCTCCACCCCTGCTGAAGCCCCATGATGATGCCCCAGCTGAGGAAGTCCTGTGGCCAGAGCAGGGATCACCATGGTGCTGCAAACCCACATTTGCAAGAGGCAGGAAATGAGCAAGAGAAAGGAAATCAAACTGGGATTCCAGTGCATCACCACTGCAGATAAGAGGCTCGCAGCCCCTCAGGCACAGCTCTAGGATGGCCACTGAACTCCAGGCAGCTGAGCTTTCTGAAGACACTTCAGGCACAGAGTCCCTGGCCAAGTCACCCATCACAACAAGGCACTGTGCCTACAGGAATATTTACAACAGTGTTTTTTAGTAACAGGAGTCCCTGCCTGCCATCTGGAGCACACACAGGTTCATCCTGAGCGGGAGCCAGATGCAAATGTTAATAATCCTCTGCCCTTTCCCATACACCTTAACCATGGAGCTCCCAAATCTGTCTGCAGGCACTTGATAAACGACTGTTTCACATGGAAGACAGGTGTCATTACACAGCTCTGCCTTCCAGGTGGGGAAACATGGAAAGTGGGGGATGCACACTTGCTTGGGACTGCAAAGAGGATTCAGCCCAAGGCCTCCTAGGTCCATATGTCAAACACAGAACAGACTTCCTCCTTATCAGAGGGCAAAGTAGAAGGGTGTGTGTGATGGCACTTGCCACAGAAGTATAGGACAGAGGTCCTGGACTTATTACAAATGACCCCATGAGATTCACAGCTCACAGCAGCCCCAGGTCCACAGTGAGAAACAAGTAAATCCAAACCATGACAAGAAAGTAGAGAAGTCCCTCCCTCCCTGTTTGCAGTCTGATGTACATATGTATCTCTTCTACAGCTCCCACCTTTGGAAGCCACATTTAAAATGTAATCCAAGGTTTGGTAAGGCCTTCAGATATGTCCATTGAGTCACGGCATCGCTGCAGAGATTGCTGGCAACGTGTGTGTAGGAGGCTATTAGTGGTAATTGGGCTAATGAGTTTGCCCAGTCTGAGGGGTAATTGAATCACCTCTATTTGTGTATGGAACAAGAAAATTGAGAAGACACAGGCCTGGCCCCACAAAAGTATGTATATGGCTAACTCCCATGAAAATTGATGGGAATTAGGCACCAAAATGTCTTCTGAGTTCTGGGACAAACCAGCCCATCTTGCCCCATCTTGCTAACAGTGAAGTCAGCAGAGTCTTGCCATTGAGTTAAATGGAAGCAAGAATCAGGTTCTCCTACAGACACATCTGGATGTCCAGGGAACTGGAGGAAGGAGAATGTAAAGGAGTTCCAACCTTGACCTTAGAGTGCTGACAGCACCATGTTCCCCCCTCTTTCATTGTAACATATGGACTTAGGAGCCAGTGGACTCTGGATTCGTGGCTGTAACTGCTGATGGCAGATCACATCCTCAGTGCAAATAAGATAAGTAGAGACGTAGGGTGTTAACAGAGGAGAAGACACTTCAGCAGAGAGCAAAAAGACACATCACAGAGAGTAATTATCATCCCAGGAACTGGGACTGCCCACTGACCCACACACAGACTTCAGTATGAGCCCCCACTAGTACACAGATAAGAGAAGTAGGAGGACACTTACTTTACTGTAGAGACTGTTCCAGTTGTGATGGAGTCTGTCTTGGAGAAGGTTGATTTCAGGTACTCAGGAGTGTTGAATGGCAATGCGACGGACTGCTCTGGCCCGGCCACGGGAGTGCTGCTGGGGGTGCTGGCGAGGGGAGCAGGGGCCAGGCTGGGAGCTGGAGCTTTTACTGGAGTGAGCTTCTGAATGTTCCTCACATCATACTTGGAAGGCCGGCCTACCTTGCCCGTCTTGAAGGCGATGGCTCCTCCCATATCTGGGCTTCCTTCTCCAGGCTTGAAAAGGTGCAAGTACTTGACATTTTCTAGGTCATACTTGGAGGCCTTCTTGTACGTGTTGCCGTTTTGTGGCCTGATGCTCTCACCCGTCTTCAGCTTCTGAATGAAGAAGTCGTACTTGGAGGCCCGTGACATCAGGCCCTGCATCTGGGAGCTGCTGGGAGAGGGCAGCGGCAGGATGGTGGCTTTGGTCTCCGTCAGTAGGGAGGCGTCTGGGCCTGGCACCCGAATGGGCTGCGCCAGCACCGAGGAAGGTTCTTTGCCCAGCTTGGGGCCCAGCTCCTCGGACTTGGCCAAGTGCATGGGCCACGAGAGCTGCTCCCCGGCCTTCAGCTTGCGGATGTACTCCTCGTACTTGGAGAAGCGGGCGCGTTTGCTCAAGGCGTCCTCGCCGGGCAGCGCGGTGGCGGCGGCGGCCTCTGAGGTAGCGGCGTTCAGCTTGTCGAAGCTGATCTTGCGGGCCAGCTCGTCCCGCATGTTCTGGTCGTCGTAGCCGAACATGCCCAGGAACTCGTTCATGGTGGTGGCGGCGTAATCCTGCAGCGACGACGCTTCCCCTGCGGAGAACCCGCGGCACAGAGTCAGGCACGGCGCTGGATTTCCCTCTCCTCCCATACCAGCTCCGGTAGCGGGGACGGGGGGGAGGAAGGGGAGAGGGGAACATGATCTACTGACGTTTGGCTCACTTGTTAGGTTTTACGACTCTTAAATTAATTTGTTTAAAAAAAAAAAAAAGTAATTAATACTGGGGTAAAATAAAAAGAGTTCATCAATGCCAGGAAAATCAATTTCCTAAATGTTCTAGCCGATGGCTTTTCAGTACATTAAACAAAGTTTCATAAATGTCTCTGCACTCTTGCCTTGGCCTAATATGAAGAAAAAGTAATTTTACTGGAAGTGAGACCGATGCCAATATGCCGAGGTTTGTACAGATCTGTCCTTGTGTGTGTTCGTATATGGAAGGAGGGGCACAGAGAATGGTGTGTCTGTGTGTGTAAGGGGGGGAACCATGTGAAAATGCTGTGTGTGGTGGACAAGAGCAGGGCTGAGGGCAGGCAGGGCAGCGTGGTGTGAAATGGTAAGGGACAGGCAAGGCAATGTATGGGGGGGAGCAGGAGGAGGGCAGAATGGAATCCTGCGGAGCAGAAGGGAAGCAGCAGAGGTGGACATGAATTAAGGCAGGGGAAGAGCAACAAAGGCTGTGCATGAGAAGCCTGGGAGTGAGGAGTGGGGAGAGGGGAATGGAGAAGACAAGGCAAGACAAAGACAGGACAGCTCCCCACAGCTGCTGCAGTCCTTCCCTTCCCTGTCCATTTTGTAAGGGTTCACACAACTTGTTCCCTTCTTTCTCAATCCCAATGACTGGGCAGCTTTCCATGTGCAAAGGGGCCACAGCAAGGGCTGTGAAAACCCACAGGCAGGCTCCTGAGCAGCCAGGAACAGCTTCCAGTAAGACCAGGAAAGGGGAAAGTCCATACAGGTGAAAGACAGGTAAGGAACAGCGTTCTCTCCACCAGGATTTGGAGTGAGGAGAGAAAGAGCTGTTGTCTCGGGCCTCGGAAAGGGGGAGAATGCCTGTTCTCTGGAGTGTGGGTTGGGGAAGGGGCAGGAAGGGGTTAGTCTACCTGAGCCTGATCACAGGGTGGAAGAATGAGCAAAAGCTGTCCTTCCTTGGGTCTCTCCCTCCCTTCCTCCCTCCCCTACTCCCTCAGGCAGTTTCACAGGCCACCGCGATGGGAAGAACACACATCTGGAGGTCACCCAATATCAGTGTAAAGGAGGAAATAAAGATTGCTCTGACGTGCCAGCTTGGACTCATTTAGGCTTCAGTCTGACACAGCGCTCCTCCTCCTCTCCCTCTTGCTTTCTCCTGCAGAGTAAAGATTTACTGTGTGCAGGAGTCCTTCAAACCTCCCTCGTCATCTTTTCCAAACACTCACACTGGCTCTCACGGGCAGGCACACTCCTTCCCAGGGAGCCAGCACAGGCAAGTGCAGAATGGAAGTTTTAGGCACTGGGTCCTGCTCAAACCAAACCAACACTGCCTTGAAATAGAGGAAAAGGAAAGCACCAAGACAGCCACAGAACAGGTCAGCAGATCCAAAAGATCCATAGGATCTGGGGGATCTGACAGCCAGGCAGGCACATCCACCAGAGCATTTCCACACACACAAGAGCCTGTCAATGAGCACAGTCGAAGCCCAATAGCCATCAGCACCACAGATCAGTTTGCACAGGACTCTGCGGAGGAAGAGACTGACTGCAACGGGCACGGAATGGGCAGGACCATGAAGGTCACGTTCCTGCTCCAGGACTGCCCGGAATGGCTGTGCTGCTGCAGCACAAGTGCTGCTGTGCTGGGGCCTGTCTACGTGGTACTGGAGGGAAGGCAACAGTGAACAACATCCCTGGAGCCCATGAGGGGAAGGACAAAGCCACACCTGCTAAGTGCTGGAATCTGGCTTAGCCCCAAACGACCTTCCAGTTCTGGGCACTTAAGCCCAGCATTCTGCGTGGGATTTGGGATGCCTGACTCCAAAATAAACACCATGTTAGCCACAGGATGAGTGGCAATGCCCCTGCAGTGTCAGGCTCAGGTTGTAGCACAACCTCATGGGTTGGTATTAATCAAATGCAGAAACATGCCCACAGTGTCCAGTAACAAGGCCTGCCTGAAGGACAACTTTATCTTTCACACACAGGCATATTAAATGATTTCATCCTGCTGTAAAGCAGTTCTCCTTTTTACCTCTTTTTCCTCTCTTCCCTACCTCAATTTCAGTGTAACCCTATGACCCAACAAAAGTGAATAAACCCATGAAATCCCTACTGGGTCTAACACCTCCCTGTTTCTGTTAAATCTGCTTTCCCTGTTCTGCTTTTCCCCTGGTTTTGGACCAGTAAAACAACTCCCAGCCCCGCTCATAATTCCCTGACTTCGAGCACTGCACAGAAAACCTCCAGCCAGCCTGTGCCAAACTGAAAGGGGAGAAAGAATAGCACAGAGGGGTTCTGATATGAAATTAAACTATTAAGTGTGATTTTTACTAGCTTTAACAGCTGCAATGAAAGTCAGTCAGTGGGTCTCATCTTTAGTACCATGTGGCTACACCTGAATTGGTGCAATTAGATGCAAACCCCAAGCCTACAGGAAAGGGGGGTGTGTGGAGGGGGGGGATCCAGACCTTTTTTTGAGGTATATTTTGATATATTTGAGGTACATTTGACTTTGTCCTTTGCAAAGTCTGAGTTGGAGTTCAGGTTTCACTATCCTGGATTTAATTCCCCAAACCACCTTGCATTCTGCTTTTCCTTTGCCCAGATTTGGTTCCAGATGGCAACACCCTCCCTGATCAACAGCTTTGCTGGTGCTGCTCAGTCTTTCCTCATCCAGATTTGAGATGAAAGCCTGGCCAGCTCCCACTGCTCACTGCCTGGGAAGTGCAGCTTCTTTCAGAATCACAGAATCATTCAGACTGGAAAATACCTCTAGAATCACTCATCCCGTGAGCCCAACACATCCCCTAAAGTCAAGGGGGTCACTTGATAGCTCAGGCACCCAACCTGAAGGGTGGAGGCTCTTCTAGTGGAGGCACCTTAAGGCAGGGAGTGGGCTCACCAGGAGCAGGGTATGAGACCCAGCCAACTCACTTCATATGCATTTTCAACCAGCAGTGAAGAGCTAATTATCATTACCTCATCATCAGAAAACCCCCCTCACACCCACACACAGATAAAACCGAGGCAGGACAGAAGTTGGGAAACACATCCCTGTGAGGAGTGCACAGCCCTGGAGGCCACAGGAAGCACTGTCCCTGTGTTTTCCTCCCCCTTCCCTGCACTGCATTTTTGTCTCCTTTCCTATGTGATAATAAAAGGGCTCCCTCTCCCCTTGCCGCTGCTCTCCATTTGTGGGCATTGCCAAAGAGCAGAGATCTGTGTGTCTCAGAGCAGCTATCGTATCACAAAGGATCCCAAGCTAGCAAAAAAGGCGCTAAAAATAGCCTGCAGCAGCACACTATATATGGAAGGAAAAGCAAAACAGCCCAAATGGAGTGCAAGGTCTGGATACTGGGGGATGGGATATCCCAGCCAGGGCGCTGTCCTTTATTCTGCTTGGGAGGGAAAACACGCAGACTTGGGGGATACAGGATGATGAGCAAGGAACTGGCACTCGTCATTCACGTTCTCCCAAGCGGAGTCTCCTCAGGAAATTATGAAGAGAAAACCCCCCTGGTTAAAAACAGGGCCATAGAATATTCCAAGAGACTTAGCCAAGAGGCTAAGAAAAGAAAGGCAAGTCTGAAAGCTTGTACAGGGGGACGCTCCTGGTGACTACTTTAGCCCACTATGTAACAGGCAAAGTAAGGAACACGGGACTGTGTAGGAAAATCTCCCTGGGCATGTGCGTCAGGGAGGGACTGTGGAGAGGGATCTCTGTCACTGACTGCACAGAGAGAGCTCGGTGCTATATATAAATGTGCTCAGGGCAGTATGGGCCCATCAGTGGGCAGGAGAGGGTGCATGAATGAATGAAGAAACATATCTGCACATCCAGATCGGCTTCTGACACCCATCTCCTGACAGACACCAGCTTTGTGGCTCCTGAATGTGATTCCCAGCTGGACCAGGGAGGAGATGCACACGGCAAGACTGAGCCCTGACTCCTGAGTTCCTTGTTTCCAAGGGGAGGCTCAAAAAGAAACATGCCCTACATGCACATTCTCCATCTTGTTGCAAAGCATGAGGCTTGAACAGCATGGACTTAGTCCCTCATGCACAAGAAGCCTCACAGTCTGAGCCTGGAAGGAGACAAAGGTGGCCAGGATTTGTCATCAGACCACAGGAGGTGCTGGTGGAGGACACAGGTAGTAGCTGAAGTCCCATAAAGTGGACAATGTGTGTACACACCACAGCTCCAGGAAGCAGGAATCCTTCTCAGCCCCATATAATTAGGATCACTTTCTTCACTGACCAAGAAAGCCATTAGATGTAGGGTTTGGTTTTCTGTGTGGCTCCTGCTTTTAACCCAAGTTTCCAGCTGATCAAAGTGTGGGCTCAGTTTTAAATGTTGCTGAGCACAGCCAGCCCTGTACCCTCTATGTCCTCAGAGGGAGCAACTAGTGCTCAGAACCTTCAAAACCAGGTTTCTGCAATGACTCCCCAAAAGCCACACTGACTGGGAGGGCAGAGCTGTATTCCTCTCCTTTCATCTGACTCCTGCTACCCCCAACTCCCAGGAAAAAAGCCTCCTTTTTGGCACAGGCAGTTCCAGATCTCTATGGAATAAACTTAACTCACACCCAGTACCACCAGGTCTGAGAGGACTTGGTGACGAACAGTTTAAAATTAATTTCCTGAACACTGACAGAATAAAAAAAGGAAAATAGGTTTGTCCTTTCCAAAGCAAGGGATGTTTCAGTTTGTGCTTTTCAGGGAAATGTTGCAAATGACATTTATAACAGGGTTCTCGCAACAGACGCTCAGACGTGGCAGCACGTCTGTTTGCAAGTCAAATCCCACGTGGCTGTAAATGTAAACTGGACCCCGCGTGTGCCATTACCTGCCTTAGACAGAAATGAGGCTTCAGCCCCCCCTGAACACTTACACGTTTTTGCATAATCCCTTGACAACACAGTCCTGCAAAGGCATTTAACTGAGATCTCCTACCCCAGTAAGAAAACTCAGCTCCTTTTCATTTTCCCCAGTTTGGCAACATTTTTTTTACATTTAAGTTCCCCTCCTTTTAGTTTCCATAGCGAATAAAAGCTGCAAACGGCGGGGGGTGGGTGGTGGTGTGGTGCTAGTGTGAATTAAAACAAACTAAAAACAGAGTCCAGGCACAATCACCTTGTGTCTGGGAACGACAAGGGCTTTCCTATCAAAGGAAACTGAAGGTCACACTTTTCCTCATTGATCTTGCAATGTTTGTTAATTACTCTGTCACTGATGTGGCGAAGGATAATTAAACAGCTCTGTTTATATCTTATATGCATAATTATGTGCGCTGCCACTGAACTCGTGAAGACTAGAGAATGTGCCTCTCCAGAAGGGGAACGGACAGACGGAGATGAGTTTCGGCTGCATTATTAACAGGAGGAGGAAAACATGCGCGCACACAAAAGCAGGAAAGTTTGATGGATTCACAAAGTGCTGAGATCAGGGGAGGGGTGCGTGCAGGTGGAGCAGATTAGGGGGAGATCTTTCAATTACAGATTCAGCCCAGCTGAGTGACAAATTGGGGGAGGGAGCTGCTCTGCCCTAATGGAGAGAATTCAATTTACCCAAAGCTTTTACCAAGACTTAGCACTCATACGCCCCCCCAAATCAATCTGGGGGGAACATGTGCATCAGAAAGGGAGCACAAAATTCCTCTGGGGCTTTTCCCAACACTTCTTGCTGAATTCAGCTTTTGAATGAACCACAAAAATAAGGCAAAAGCTAAGTGAAAATAGGAAATGCACACACAGGCTGGGGAGAACACTTTGTACCTGCACACGAGTTGGTGTCCTGGACGGAGCTGGTGGGGGACACTGAGCTTTGGGACCAGCAGCTGCACCAGCCTGATCCCGAGCTCAGGGTGGGCAGAGCTTGAGGACTGGCCCCTCACGAGGGGGGCAAGGCCACAGCGAGAGTCACCTCAGCCCTCCGGCCGGGGGAGGGAGCGAGAAGGGATGGCTCTGCAGGGACACCGAGAAGGGACGGCTCTGCAGGGACACCGAGAAGGGATGGCTCTGCAGGGACACCCAGGAGGGGCGGTGTCGCTGTCACAGCGCTGATACCCGGCTCCCGCAGGAGCGGGATCGGCACCGGGGGCCGGGAAGGGGCGGCCCCGCCGCAGCTCCCAGAGCTCCCCGGCCTGTCCCGGGTCCCGCGGTCAGTGCCGGTCCCACGGTGTGTCCCCGCTGATGGAGGGGCCGTGACTGTGGTCACACAACCCACCACCCGCGTGGGGACACCCTGTGAATCCACACGGGATCTGCCACGAGGGCTCCCTCTGCTTTCCTTCCCCCATGTGGGAATGCATGAGGAGGAAATCAGCACTCACCGCAGCTGTGGCCATGCGAGGGGTGTGCAGGAGTCTGAGGGGAGATCTGCTCTACCAAGGGATCTGTGGTCTGGAATGATCCATCCAGCCACGTCCACCCTCACAACACCCCTCTTGGTATGGGGAGGCTGAGCCAAACTCCATATGGTCCCAAGAGCAAAATGCCAGGCCTCTGTGAGGGAATCGGGGCTCTCACTCTCCCCCTTGGCTGCCCGGTGCTGCGGGACCTGGGCACGGACACCCAGAAAACATGACCCTGTGGGGAGGTGGAGGGGATGGAGGGCTTACCTGAGGTGGTTCCTGCTCCCAGCTTGGAGCCTGGCTCGCCACTGGAGGACCGGTAGGCATCATCCTTCAAGGCTGGCCCGTCTGAATCCCTGTCATCCAAGAAGTTGCCATCCTGCGAGCTCCTCAGAGCGTCTGCCTCGTCCCCGTTATCTTCCTCGTCGCTGCAGCCCTTGGGCTGCACCATGTACACCCCTTCTGGGGGCACCTCCGCGCTCTCGGCGCCCTTACATTCCTTGCCCTCCACTCGCCCCAGCAAGGGCTCCTCGTTGTACTCCCCATTCACCCACTTCTCAATCACCTCCCTCCTTTTGTCCTCCTCGATCTTCTGCACGCGGCTGAGTCCATCTGAGAACTCTGTCCCCAGCTCCTTGGTGCCGGGCTGAGGCAGGTCCTTGTTGCCGCTGTCCCGCTGCGGCCCCTTGTCGGCGCGCGCCTGCTCGGCTCCCCCGTGGTCGAAGACGACCTGGCGGCTCAGCTTGGCACAGATGGCATTTAGCTTCAGGCCGCCTTTGCGCTTGGCAGCCATTGTGGGTTTTCCTGAGGCTGCGTCAGTGCATATAGTTCTTTCAGCTGGAAAGAGAGAGGGGAAAGAAGCAAGGAAGGGCATTAGTGGGATCAGACAACTTGAACCCAAACAGCAAACGGCTGGTGACAACCCAATGGGTGTTCAGGCATGGCCAGTGTCATCCTTGGAATGGAGCTGCCACGTGTTTCCTAAGCTCCAAGCAAAAGCCCAGCCAGGAGAGCTGGGTGAGAAGCAGGCTCTGAACCTGCTGGGACCAAAGGACGCCACTGGCCTCAAGAAAGAGATGTGTATGTATGCTGGGGCAGAACTGGGCTCAAAAGGCCCCAAACACCTCAGGTACAGACCAGCCTTTGCTCATGGCTGAGGCAGGATATGAGGTCTGTTAAAAGCCCAACTCACTCTCTCCTTCAGACTGCAGCACCACTTCCTTTAGGTCCCCAGCTCCATTCCAGATGTGCTGGGTGCCAAACCCACACCAGCCAGTGACTGCACCCAAGCACCTCCAGCAGGGAGAACAGCTCGCCAAGCCCACCCTAGTGAGGCTTTCACCTAATGGCATTTGTGCTCGGTCTCAGGAAAGAGAACCAGTATGCACCAGAAAGAACCAGTATGGAGGACAGGAGCCCCGGCAAGAGCAGGTGCTGGAGCACCAGACCCAGACTGGGGTGTGACAGCTGTAGAGGAGAGAATCGTTGTGGGTTGGTATCGGCTGATCAGGCCCCTTTGCCTGCTTGCTCTCACCCACAGGAAATTCTGCTCTCATACTTCCCAGCACAATCAGCTAATTAGTGTGAGTTTGTTATTTTAATGTAGTTTATTCATATGTGACAGCTAGTAAAGGAGGGGTAAGAGAAGGTGGGGGGAGAGATGAAGAAGGTAAGGTCTTAACTTCAAGGTCACGGAGAATCTTGAACTAAATGGTCCCTATCAGAGTCACTTGCATGATTATTGCACCAACAATTAACAAGATTCAATCGCAAATAAAAGCAAAAAACTGATTCTAAAGCAGGTGCATTGTCTCATTTCCCTCTTTACATATGACACTGCTGAGAGATGCCCAGACTAAGCAGGGTTAAAGGTCCCAAGGCTGCAGTGGGCACACAGCCTGGCTCTTCCCCCAGCACAGAGCTGGGGCAAACCCTGCCCTGTCCCAGGACTCAGGAAGAGCACCCAATAAAACAGTTGCTGGTCACATACACCACTGGAGTTACTGTGGGAATGTTGCTGGAGGTCCCTCCAAAATGGGCTCTTGGATTTCATGTCATGTTGAAAGAGGGGTTAGTCACATGGAGAGCAAACAGAACCTGTCTCCAGACCTCGAATGGTGAGACACCACTGCACAGGAGTCCCTTGTGGCAGCTCAGCCCACACCTCCCTGTCACCAGCACAGAGGTGCTGCTGCACAGAAGCACAGTGAGATTAATCAGACCCCCTACAATGCATCCAGAAGCCACCGTGACAGCCCCTAATCCCGTAACATGACAGCCCAATACAAACAGACTGAAACTTTAGACCTACTGTCCAAGAGCCAGAGAGTGGCTGCTTAGCGTAAACTCCTGACAGCTTCAGACACGCTTCCCTGTCAGAGACCGCAAGAAAAATTAGCCCCCGACAAATATATCAGCCCCCCACACAAAGGGAGGCAAAATGTACTCCTCCACTTTCCCAAGGCACCCCCCGGCACTAACACCTACGTGCAATCATGCTTTCACGACGGGAAAGCACACGGTGCCCCCAGACACGTCCCTCCCCATCCAGAAATTATAGCTGTTCAGGAGCTGTGTGTATGCGCTGGCACGCTCCGCCAGCGGAGTCCTACACGCACAGGTTAAGAAGTCCCATCTCCCCAAAATACATTCCTGTGCATTCCCCCACGCATTCCCCTCTCGCACATTCCCAGCACAGCGCGCAGCCCTCGCGCATACAGATGGGCACAGGCAGGCGCCCGGGAAGCTGCGACTCTCTGAGTGCTGGCACCTTCCCTTCCCACCGCATTCCCGCTCTATTTAGGGCAGAAAGCGCGGGCCGATCCTGTGCGCAACTGGTACCACAGAGGGAATCTCGGGAGGCTGCTGTGAGCTCCAGCTGGAGCCTGGCCAGGACAGCAGCGGAGCCCCGGCGGTGCGGGTGGTGGGGACGGTGCTGCCGGGCCGTGCGGGGCCCGCCCGGGGCCGGGGCACTGGGTCAGCACGGAATCACCAGCCTCTCTCCTCAACTGCCCGGTGATTCCCCGTCCGCGTTCTCACGACACCCGGCCCTGCTTAACTGGTGAGATCAGCACCGCTCGCAGCTGGAGATAACTGGGAGGCAGACACGCGGCAGCCCGAACCCCCGCTGCCCTCCCCCTTCCTGCCAGGAGGGCAGGTCCCATTATTCTGGTCTGGAGGTGAGCAGCCAAGTGTGTGCACCAGCCGGCAAATGAATATATAAATATTTATTCAAAGGAAGAGAGGAACAGACGTTCCCGAGGCTGCACTTGCCGCGTACGCAGCAACTCCAGGGAGCCTGCAACTTGTCTTCCACTCCTGTTCTGCCTCCTTCCATCACACACACCCTGGCTTTGCCCCTCTGCCTCCCCAGCTTCTCCCCCACAGCTCCTGCCCTGCCCCTTGGCATCTTTCCTGTCCCTTCTCCTTGTATTTGGGACTTTTTATCATTTTGAGAATCTTTTCCTAAAGTTCAAGTTAAAAATAAAGCAAGTTCTGAAAACGTACCATTTCCCTGATCTACAAAATTAATCCTCCCACAGACCTTCCTGGGATGGGATTTGCTGCTGTAATATTGGGGCTCTTGCACATCTCCATCCCACCTATCCCGTATGGCTGGAAATCAGAACTCCCAGCTTCTCCTGCCAACCTTGCAACCACCTCTCCACAAGTCTGGACACATTATTTTATCTTTCCATTGCCTTATTTCCTTGCCTGTGGAATAGGAGGGACATTACCTGTATCAATGTTCCTGTTCCCCTCTTTTAGGCTGTCAGGTTCACCAGCAGAAGGGAAACCCTTCTCACAAAGAAGGGCTGAAGATGGCCATGTAGGAGGGGGCCAGGACACCTGTGTTTCCTTCTCTCAGGCAGAGGGAGAGGAGCTGAGCTACAGGATGAGGGACCTTCGTACCTGCCCAAGGTCAGGACTGCTGGACCCTCAAAGCCAGGCAGAGGCTCCCTCCCCCCAGGCCGAGCTCCCCACCCCAAATCACCCCTTGTCTCCATTGCACTGTTTAAAGATTCCAGCCTAAGTAAACATCCCCCTTCATTTTCTTCGTCTAAATAGAAATGTTTTGATTTCACATCAATCTGAGGAAGCCGTTTATAACCTGAGCCTGTCACACGGACTTTTCATCTCTGCCCAGGACAAACTCTCCCACATGCTCTATTTACACTGAGCACTTCCTCTGAAAACAATGCCACTGGGAGTTTACTCCTCTTGCCCCCTCCCCACACCCTGTGAGGAGACACCGGCTGCCCCGCTCTGCACCCACCCCTGTGGCATCTTGGAAGGGAAGGTACAGCTTCTCCCTTGGAAGGGAAGGTACAGCTTCTGCAACCACAGCTGGCAAGGAGGAGGACAAAACTCACCAATTCACTGCCTTGTCACCCCATGACCTTTCTGCTCCCACTGCCCCCCTGGTCACCATATGCTGCCAGCACCCCACGTACAGCCCCCAGCTCTCTCCCTCCACATAGCCCCCAAAGCAGCACCTTCTCACTCATGAACACTGTGAGGTGCTGCCGAGGTGGGTATGGCTTGGCCCTGTCTCCCCCAAGGGAGAAGAGGGGCTCTGGGAGCACACTGTGTGCAGGAATGAAAGGATTGCAGCCCAGACAGAAATAGGCCATCCCAGCCACCAGGCAAACTGCTGCAGAGAGAATTCTGGCTTTGCAGGGAGAGGAGGAGAGAGTCCAACTCTGCCTTTAGCTTGGGGTCCATGAAAACACACCCTGGCTGAGGGGAGAAAGGGTCCCAGCTGTGAAACAGGGGCGTGTGGGAGCTGGATGAAGCAGCTGGCACTGATGAAGGGTAACAGCAGAGCTTACTGGTGTGGGAAGAGCCAGGGGTGCAGGGACCCCTGTGATGGGGCAGGGGCTGAGGAGGGGCAGAGGGGAGGGCGGAGGACCCAGGCTGGGGGGGGGAGAGGGATGCTGGCTGGGGAGGGACAGCATTGTCACTTCAGAGGGCCGGGTACGTGGAACAGATGGAGCTTTCATATTCCTATTGAAGAGTTTTAAGCCCAGCTGAGCAGCTCCGTTCAAGAGGGAGGTCCCAGTGCCAGCTTTCCAGGAGCTGCAAGCTCTCATTCGATTAATTATTAACGGCATTATTTGGGGCGGGGAGGGGGAGGAAAGGAGGGCCGACATGCTGCACAGTCCTCTGCTTTTTAACCACTGTGCTGCAAGCTCGACTGGAGAGGCTCCAGTCAGCCCAGCAGCCCCAAACAGGGGCAGCACGGCTCACTGGGGTGAGGATGCTGCACACTGGAGCTTCTTCACACTTGAGCTGAGGTCCCTAAAATGGAGCCAAACCTTCACAGCAGAAGGCCACTGGGGCATTGGGAACATGCTTCCCAGGAGCAGTGCCCTGGTGCTGCCCAGCCACACGCCGGGAGGAGGCAGGGCAGGCAGCCAAACGCCCAGCCCCTTCCAGAAAACACTTCCCCTCCAGCACGAAGACTCGTGCATTACCCCAGGCAGGGCCAGGGCAAACGGAGAACATCCCAGGCATGGCCCGCAACGTGTGAGAGTGGATTTAGTGTGTGTATTTTCCCCTCTTCAGTTTATCAATAAAACATTTTATTGCTTTTAGCCCAGGAAATGACCTTGGATTAGTGGATGCTGTCTCTTCTGGCTGACCTTGGGGAGTTCACAAAGGCTCTTTAACAACCTCCTCTGCCCTGCATGGATCCCGCCTGTGTGTGTCTGCGTGGAGCGGGGAAAGCCCTCGGTGTGACAGTGGGACCTGACAGGCTCCAGCTCAGCACTGGGCAGGAGGAGAAGGAGAATCAAAGACGTGGGAGGAGAAACGAAGCGAGCAGCCAGGGTGTC